GTGCTCAGACTCTATTTTTGTTTTCGAAATCCATTATCTTGATGCAGTCTGTATTTGATAACCATATCAAGAGAGGACATTAAAAAAGTGGCCGATAAACTGAAATTTGTTATGTCTGGTGCTTTACACATAATGCTTGACAAGGGGTTGAAAAAGCAAGCCATACAAAAGTATCATGACCAGAAGCAAAAGAAAACTGTGATGTGTCTTATAATGGAGATCTTGACGGTACTCCTGCTAAAGTTTTCTTTACTACATCCATCCATTACTGGTAACACCAAAACTCAATAGATAAACAAGTGTTCGAATAAGTAAATAAACAAATCCATGAGTCAATAGTAATGCTCGAATTGTCCTGCTTCACCAGATGTTCAGAAACATGATTACCTTATAATAAAATTAATTTAACCTTAGTTCAGATTTATTTCCTCTGATCTAATTTTTGGGAAACACATTCAAGTGCACTTTATCAGTTATGGGTTCAACACAAAGAAAGATTTGCATCAGGAAGACATTTATTTTAATGTATTTATAAATGGATATTTATTCTGCCAACGATCAGTAACTGGTACGAGAGTGATTGATATTTATACTTTAGAAGACTCTAGCTAAAATTATCCTTATTTGGAATCTGAGTTAAAACCTTGATAGAAGTCAGACCACCTGGCCCATCTAGGGGTAGAGAAAGCGGAAAAGTACAGATTAGCAGTAAATATGACCATGCAACTATACAAACTACATCAGCACACTTCTTAATTACTTATTACTGTTGTACTGAAAAAACCAAAAACACTCTGATTTGATTCTCACAGGACAGCTGTGTAGTATCCGACACAAAAATTCAGGAGTGAGCAAACTCCCTATTGCTGCTGTTTAGTTATCCGGCCTGTGACTTAATTTTTCCTTGAAATGCCAGGACATTACATAAGTACATGAATTTCTGGAGTTCACAGTTCCAAGGTGTCGCGGTAACAGCGTACACAAAATAATTTTGTTCCTGAGAATTAAAGGAGTACTACTTCGTAAAATTGTCTTAGCGTTCTGATTTTTTTCGGAAGACGAAAAGCTGTACAAACACGAGTTCAAAGTAATGTGTAATAATTAAAACAATTCATAGAAACGAAAGGCTATTGATCTTCTTCGAAGCCATGGTAAACCACAGTTTCACTAGGGAAAGCGTTGCATAACGGCCTAAAGTCATAGTATGACCAAGGGAAAAGATTTGAACTTCCAGCAAAATACGAACAAGGGTAAACAGTCTGAAAGAGTACTGCTCGAAGACACCTTGAAACACAAAAATAGCCTTCCTGCTACAAAAGCTTGTAGATTTATTTTTTCTTTTCTTTTTCTTGATTGTTTTTTTTTTTAATTTCAATTCGAATTCTCGTTCAAAGACTAAGTTAGATATGTTCAGAGTAAACGCACATGTGCGAAGGTATGACTTGAGCTCTCCAGGCCATCAGGTGTTGCTCTGCTATAAGGTGAAAGTGATGACATTTTACTGGGAGTATTGTGTATTCAGTCATTTGTGGTTGCTAAGTTCTAGGTTCTAAATCCTATAGGAAGGTAGCTAAGTCAGTAACACGGATGATACCAGAGAAAATCAGGCAAAATGTGATGAAAATGGAATTTATATTCATATTCAGATTTTGATTGAATCTTAAGCAGAATAAGAGCGATGGTAAATTTTGAGCTTGGAAATGAAATGGAGAATTACAAACTGTGAAAGATCCCATTTTGTTTACACGCTTGTGAAGTGACAAGTGAATGACTGTTATTATTTGAATATCATATATTTGAATGCAGAACAATTAATGAAGACGAGAGTGATCTTCGCAGCGATGAACAGTATTAAAGCAGTAGTGAAACCTGCAGTTCAAATGACAGAAGGCACTGGTTTTTCAGAAGTCATAGCGTTAGCTCCAGTACTGTCTGAATTTTTTTCAGGCTTTATTTTCGCTACTGTTTAAGGACCGTTCATTACTGCAATAATCACTCTCCTATTTGTTGATCTAGTGGACTTTTGAACGATGTATCAATTGAGATGTTTTAAGCAGTTTCTTCACGAATGCTTTTCAAATGTTTCTTTGACGCTTTTGTACAGAGCATACCATACTTTTGATCAGACAACTATTAGGTCATGATTAAGGCTTAAGAGGGTGGAAATCCCCAAAACTGATTATTTGGGTTTGTGCTATCTTTTTATTCAAATGAGGAATGATTTTGGTTTTCCCTGCACCAAGGTGATGGTCAAAATCAGCAGCGCCTGCCTTTGTACAGAGATGAGCAAGGGAACCTGTTAAGTAAACAAACACAGCGCTCGATTCAACCGGGTCAGTCGTACAGCGTCATCGTGAGAGGCCCAGCAGAACTTGATGTTGATGCTGATCAGAGAGGAAGTTACGGTGGAGTTAATGATACAGAGAAAAATGTCATGCAGTCAAAGAAATCCCTAGATCAGGATCAGGTGACCCCAGCCAACCAGAAACAAAAGGGTAGCGAAAAGGAAGCAAATAAGAAAGCTGATGGAGCGTGGACCGGAAACAACCATCCTTTTACACCATCTGGGCAATCCACTTCTAGCGAGAACGTAACTGCTGGAGGCACAAGGAACGTAAGTGATGGCTGAGAAAGTGCTGAGGTGAAGTTTGGAGGGAATAATTTTGTAAAGGAAGGGTCTCTTTAATTTCACATTTGAAGAGGACTGGTTAGAAATTACGTAAATTCAGGATAGGTTACCACAACAGAAGTTATCTTTCACAGAATAAAGTTTAGATTGACTGAGCAAGATTATCCAGCCCCCTCCTCTCTAAGAATGCAAAGTTTTGTCTTACTTAAGAGCTCATTAGAAATGATGCGTTTTTGTTTTTCACAACGTTTAGTTTTTGAGCAAAGGCTGAGAATGAAGGAACATATTTTTCGTCATAAATTGAAATGTAAAGCCTGGTTTTCACTAGCGACGCAAGCACAAGTACAAACACAAACGAGCAAAACAGCTCTTATTATCCAACTCCCCTCCGTATAGAGTACAAATAACGCCCAAAACGAGTACAGATATCACGTGGTATTTGTACTCCAGAGAAACGGTTAGACAGGTTTTCTCGCATGGCGCAAGCAACGAATTGAATTGACGTTCCAAAAAAGAATGACAGAGTTTAAATAATGTTTTTGACGATGGAGAGTCGGAATGGCTGGCGAATATTGAACTAAGTTTTTTAGATAAAACGAACGAAGGAAAGCTGTTAGACGACAATGAAATTTCATCATTTATTGAAGAAAATAGAAATAGCAACACGACAACGCGCCCATTCCGTTCCACTTCGCCCTAAGAGCTCGTCAAAATACGGCACAACTCCTAAAAATACTCAGCGATATTACACAACAATACGTCTAGTAAGATATATTTATCACACCGTGAAAACGGCCTCGGCTCAAGCACAAGCACAAGGATAAAAAATGTTCCTTTTTCTTGTGCTTATGCTTGTGTTTGCGTTTGCGTATTCCGAGTGCAAACAAAATGCCGCGCAAGCACAAAGAAATCTACTACATTTTGTGATGTCTGGCCGATTATAGCTCTTGCCTAGTTACCCTCACGTCTGAGTGTTTTAAAGATTTTAAAGGAAAAAAAAAAACAAAAAAGCACAAGCGTGGACTCAAGTTGGCCAGGCAAAATCACCTTGGCTTCTCCTTTCTTTGAAATATCCCTAGCCCAAAAGCATTTTGTTCTCCTCCCCTTTTTTTAAATAGACACAGACACAAGGGAAAAAATACTTAAAGACTATGGCGAAGAGTGGTGCTGAGGGAAAAGAACTTGTTGTGAGAGATCCTCCTAAAGATTCAGGAAACACACGTGATGGCAAGGAAGGTGCTAAGGTGAGATGTAGAGAAGATAATTATGTAAAAAGAGGTGAAGCAATACTTCGCACATAACTAACTCAAATTTATTTCTCATACGAGAAAGGCGTCGAATACCGTTAGAGTGAACAAGACGAATAAACAAACTAACAAGAACAGATAAAAGCGTGGTGTGATCGTCTGGGTGAGTGTAGTCCTGAGGATTGTTGTCGGTGGTGGTGACTGACGTTTCGAAAACCTGTGCGGAAGTTACCATCAGAGTCAAGTGAATAGCCGTTGTTGTCAGTAGAATATTCTTAGTCCAGATCGTGTAAAATGATTGGTCAGTTTTAACGTGATGTTATTGGCTGTAAGACTCAAGTGGCGTAATTTGGTTATATCAACTAAGTTGAAATTGTAAATTGGCCACCGTAACGAATAAAAAGCTGACGTTTCGAGCAATAGCCCTTCGTCATAGCGAATCATGAAGGGCTAACGCTCGAAACGTCAGCTTTTTTATTCGTTACGGTGGCCAATTTACAATTTCAACTTAGTTGATATAACTAAATTACCTTGTTACTCCCACCAACGCAGCACCACAGTTTCTTTAGAAACTTTCAGCCTTTATTCAAGTGGTGTAAGTCGGTCGCGATTGGTCTGTTTCGATCCGTCGGTAAAGTTAGGTCATTCTGTTCGGTTCGTTTGTAATGTTAATGTTGTGAAAGAGTCGTTCGTATGGAGCCAGTTGTAGTTGACACCTGTTTAGGGGAGTGTGTTCTAAGTTAGTAAACCAGCTTTCTAGAGTCAGTCGTTGAAAGTAGTTAGTGCTGTAGGTTAGGCATTGCGGAGAATCCCAGTCAGTATTGTGGTTCGTAAGTCGATGATGTTCAAGAATGTGATTGCTGACATCACCTTTCCTCGTCGCCCGTCTGTGTTCAGTCAGTCTTGTTGTAAGGTTTCTGCCAGTCTCTCCAATGTTGGAGGCTTGGAAGTCGGAGCAATTGATCTTATTAATCGCTCCCTGTCTGTTCTTCAGTTCGTCCCTGTCTTTAACGTTGGTTAGAAGCTGGCGTTGTGTGGTGAGGGGTTTGTGGGCGACGCGGATATTGAAGGGTTGTAAGATGCGCGAGATGTTCTCAGACATGCGTGTTATGTGCGGTATGGTTGCTGTGGTCGTAGGATGGACCAAGAACTGGACTAAGAACATTCTACTGACATCAACTATTCACTTGACTCTGATCATGACTTCCGCACAGGTTGTCGAAAGGTCAGTCACCACCACCGACAACATTCCCTCTCAGGACTACATTCACCCGGACGATCACACTGCACTTTCACATGTTACCCCCGGGTTCAATCCATTTATTGCAAACAAGAGCAGAATTAAAGATGAACACACGTATTCTCCTTCGTAGAAAGTGTACAACTGGCTTAAATGCATTTCATTCATTGCAGAAGACGATTTTTTTTATCTTGACGTCCAGTTCTGACTAAAGCTTTATGTTTCGATCACACTTCATTTGAAGGGCGCCGCCAATACCTTGAAACAGGTTGAACCAGAGGATGGAGTCACTGTAATCTTCCATGTCGTACTCGCGTCTAACTTAAATATGGAAGAAGGGCATCTGCATATTCAAGCAGAAGGAGAAGACTTGGGAAACTTCAAGATAAACTGTGTTGACATGAAAGTAGTAAGGTTAGTTTGTTTTTGTAAATATATTCGGGTAAACTCCTCAAATTTTGTAAGCGTGAGACTAGTCAAGTACACCTAGTAGAAATGTCCGCGTTTACTGTGCTGTAGCAAGTTAACACTTGCAAAAGAAGCCTGTAAGTTGCAAAATTAACTCCTACAGCGGCGTCCACTGATGCTTGCAAAAGTTCCATAATTCGAGTTAATGTTTCTTATATATTTTAATCATATGGGTGAACAAACGTAGCGATGAAAGACCCTGATCCTCCCTCTCAGCATTTTAAAATTTATAGCTTCATTTATTACTTCGCCATCGTCATGAAAAGTTCTTTGAAAGCTAATTTAAGACCTCCCGAAGAGGAATATATATATAGCTTTATTAAGAAAGAAGCTTTCTTTTTCTTCACGTTTCGATGTATGGAAAGTTTGCTTTTTGCTGATCGCTGTACGAAACACAAATTTCTCATACGAAGTGTCTTTAGATTCGATGTGTGATCATCATTTATGGAAGTCGAGATACGATGTTGCCTTGTACGCTGTTTGAAGCACAGCGAACAGGTTAAGACTGCATAAAATTCAAAGATAGATCCAGAATTCCTACCCTCATTCCGACACATTGTCGCCACGCAAGGGGCTATATCAGTACCAGTATACTTAATCTCAAAGGGGTGACAAAGGCAAAGACAAAAAGAAGCCCACGCGCTTCCAAGGACAGTTCACCCTCACCATCGATCGAGCCCGGAAAGGAACCAAGTACAAGTATGTGATAATCAAGAAAAAGGATGTCCTATGGGAAGAGCTGATAGAGTTTCAGCCAAGCAATGGTGGAGTTATAGTCGATCGATTTCTCTATGTACCAGACAAATACCTGAAACGTGGCGGTAAGTTGTTACTTTATTTTGCTCTACATGTTCTAACAAGACTGGGTTGTAAAATGTCTCCGACATTTAGTTAGACAAACAAAGGGATTTTGTACGCGATATTCCGCGATGGCGTTTGAAAAGCAAGGTCTTGGTGGAGTTTTCAGTCAAATGGCCCAAATGTCAACCGTCAAACATCGATAGGGTAAACGGTCAGTGAAATTTCACAAATCATTGTACGGTAACGTAAGCAATGAAACCAAAAGGGTTGTTCGATCAATCGGTACGTTCGGTGCTTCCTAAAAATATGCCATTTTGATGTTTTTACATGTAATACAAAATCTGGCGACATGACTAAATGTTTCGGGTGACAGGACTCTGGTTTTGACCGTCGGCCGTTAGCAAAACAATCTAATATTAGCCATCAAACCTCTCAGTACCTAAAAGGAAGTCAAGATATGTCGCACATAAACAATGAGCTCCTTTAGTTTTTTTTAATACGTCTGAGTCTCGGTAGGAATTTGAAATTCACTCCTTCGTTTCCTGGGCATAAGGATGAATTTCTATTGCCTCTGATCTACAATAGATGAGTGTGGAACTTTTTCCCTTTTTACGCTTTAGCAACATGGCACCAGTTCGACGGAGTAAGTTATATTTACACCGAGAAAGGCTGGTGGGACACGTTTAAAGGATGGTTTCGGTCTGAACAAACAGCACAAAATCGCACAACTGCACTGCTTGCCTACTTACCAAAGTGGAGAGGCTTTGTTGTTAGTGGGTGTGAGAAAGAGATGAAGGCAACAGAAGCGATTGTGGAGTTAGACAAAGTGGTAAACTGTCTAACCAACGTCTGGATTCAGTTTTCACGCTGTAAACCTGAGAGTAGGAAACCGCCAGACTTTAACATTGATAAGGTAAACTCTAAAGAAAATATATTTTGTTACAATTGTTCTCTCAGACGAACCGTTCCCGTCCAAAACTATTGAAAGTAAACCTGTGCTCTTATAAAGTAAAACCTTAAAAACGTCTGTAAGGGTCAAGTGGAAGAATTTGTTTAACATTTCAAAACAAAGTTTTCATTGAACCGGCATTAAATGAATGGAAGGGGCGATATCTTTATCTGCGTGCTGGCTTTTTGCCTTGTAAACAAGATTCTCAGATAGTAACGTTGTTTTAAGTGATACAGATTTTCCTTCCTTATTTTTACGAAGGTTTTGATGGACCACTTGGAGCCAAAAATGAAGGAAAATGCTGCTATATCAGCCCAAAGTGACGTACAACTGGAAGTTCGAGCTTCAGCATTGGTTTCGTCCGTAGCAATCGTTCTGATTTGCCAACAGTACAAAATAGCGCTTCGGAGGGAACTTGAGTTGTCACTTTTGAGATGTTTGTCGCTTGCAGCAGATCCAGCAAGGCAAATATGCACGGTTTACGAAGCAGTTCTGGAGAATTTTAGTGAAGGACTGAGAGAGTAAGTGGTTGCATACTAAAACAACAGCAACAGCCATCACAATAGCAGTATTTACCGCAACAACGCCGTAAATTCGATAAGATATAACCATAAAAAAAAAACTTATAAGGACAAGGATCGGAAACATTTATCATTCAGGAATGGTTGTTTCATCAAAGTGTAGGCGTAGCCGCCAGTCCGAGACTCCTCTCCTCTAGGTCTCAAATAATCAGAGTCGGTAGGTATAGGTTTATAAAGGGGCAGATTTTAAAGGATGAGAATTTCATGCGCCAGTAAAATAGTGAAGATTTTGTAATTTTCTTAATGGTTCTGTACAGTGAAAAATGGGGCCCGTTTTGATTGAAGAACAAAGAAGGAATTTAAAACCTCTTTACTTCTGAAAATTTGATAAGCAACTAATGGGGAATAGGGGCTTTGAGAAAAAGTTCAGATTCTGATCTTTCTGATGTTATATGCCTTGACAGATGAGGTCATGTGCACCTGAGGAGTGACAACAGAGCTATTACCTTGTTACTGAGTTCAATTACAATGAGGCATATCATTTGGGAATTTTATGCTTTATTCCCCGGTATACACTTATTTACAAAACCTGACACCTAAAAAGCGTTAACAATGAACGATGAGACCCAACGGCTTTTTGGGTACACTTGTACGCGAAAACCGCAATTAGTTGATCGTGGTACAAAGAAGCTATCAAAGAAAAGAATCATCATAAACAAACGTTTGCCATGAATACTGGAAAAAGCATATCGCTGATTACGTTACTTTGCGAACGTTTCCAATAAATCCTTCGGTCTCATCGTTCATGGTCGTGCTTTTAAGGTGTCAAAGTTTCTGCAATCGAATGTTTACTCTGACTATTCCGTTGTGTTGTAGACGTGCTGCTAAGGGGATTGAGGAACTGTGTAACCGAATCATGGCGGAAAAAAGATCAGAAGCCGACGTATGGCTATTGGCTCTACCACTGTTACATTTCTTAAGAGGAGATTCAAAGCCATTTGAAAAACTTGGTATTGAAGGATCGCACAAGAAACTTGACTGGTTTGGAGGTCAGGGACTGAAAATAAAAGAATTTCGAAGATCAGCTGAAAATCTGTAAGTAACGTCAATTGGAAGTTGAAACAGAAACAGTCTCGAGGGATTTAACTGCTCTTTGAACTCTTCATTCGCACGTAATAGAGTCTCGGTTCATTCATCGGCATTTTCAAAGGAGCATTTCCACTTTGATTTGGCTGGGATTATTCTTTCGTTGGCCGTTTTTCTTTATTAAATTTGAATTACCAAGTTGCGGACACCCATGCTTAAGAGTGTGCCAGGGAAAGCATGTTTATGTGTGGTAAGTGTCTGTTGAAAATTCCCAGATACTTCTCTGAGCTGAGGCGTTAGACCTATAAGAGTTCATTATCGTCAGCGAACAGTGGTTGTTTTCTATTAGAATTACAGTCACCTCACCACCAGGAAGACACGCCGCCAGCGATCTAGTCATTTAGGTAACTCGCCACCACCAAGTCACTATTAGTTAGCCTGCATAAAAGTACGCTTGCTTATTCGTTAACAGTCAGTGCTTAAGCCGACTCTAAATAAATTTTGATATTTGAGTCTTGCGAGCTTCGCCATGATTGTACCATGGACAATACCTCATGGTCCTGCTGAAGGCTTTATAGAATCGCATAATTGATTAAAATGTTACATTCTGATTGGTTAACGAAGTGACGTATTTAGAATGGAATTGTGCGTTGAAAACGAGGCAAAGTGATGTTGTTTCGTATCTACGTAAACATAAGTATCATCGGTTCCAAACCCTACATTCGGTGGTCGCATATGAAAAATGGACGTTACTTAAACAAAACTTCTTTAGCGTAGATAATACAGCTATTTAACATAAGAAACCAATATTATTTTAAACACACTTAACATGGAAACCATACTTTAGTAGGATGGGCACGAGACAAATCTACTGACTAACTGCGAATGGTCTTGGCTGGGTACAAATGGACTGAGTAGGAAACGACTGTGACTGCAAAACGACCGGTAACCGCCCGAGCGATTTAAATGATTTCTTATTGATATTTTTATCGCGCTTCAGTATTCAGCGTTCGTACAGAAAGTGCGTCAGGATTTTTAGGAGTTCGGAAGTTAATAGGTTGAGCGATATTAGAAATAAACTTTTGTAATTAAGGTGGTAAATTGTATTTATATATTTTGAAAAAGAAACACGACAGGTCAGGTTATACGGAAAGGTTGAATGCACACGTCCCGAGTCGAGTCGGTTCAGTTTTTTGAAACGAAACGTCACCTTAAGCCAGTGTAATTCAATTTCATATTTCGGCTTTCAGAGAGAGTACCAGTTTAAGTTTAATTGCATTTTATTAGTTAGTAGCGAGGTAACGCGCCCAGGGGGCGAGGTCGATTACATATTGGCGGCGAGCTCGCTGGGGCGAGTATTCCTGGTGGCGAGGAGACAGCATAGTGTCCCTTACACGAGAGAGGGTTAACGGTTCTGCCTGCTATCATTTTAAAAGTAATTTAGGTGTATTTTGTTGAGTAAACTGCTAATCACCATTCAAATAGGGACCATGCTGTAAAACCATGTTACAGAAAATATTACGTTTGACCCTTATTGTTTTACCATGTTCTTATCGTAGAAATTTGCCAGCATTATTGAGCAGACTTGGTTCAGCCTTTAAGATCGATCTTCTGTTAAAAAGGACCTTCCTCTTCGCCATTCCTGTTTGGGACTTAAACAAGATTGTTGCTTCAAAACTGTTCCAAATTTCCGATATTTTGGTGGCTTTAGTAACACACTGTTCCCGTGAACGTGTGCCATCAGACAAGGTGAGCAACTGCTTCCCCAGGTCAATAGAATTTTATTTCATTGTTCGGGAATATTCTAATACTATTGCATTTTCTCATCAGTTCTAGCTATAAACTCTAAAGGGCACTTAAAAATTTTGAAGGCGATGAAGTCGTTACTTAACGTTTCAGATGTTAACGTTCAGTTCTTTTCTTTCTGCAGTGGGAAGGTGTTTTTCAGTGTATCAGACTGATGACTATTCAGTTTAACTCGGAAATAGAATGGTATGTTACAACCACAGTAAGACCTTTCCTTGTAGCCCATCGACCCTGGTTTACTGACAATGTTAAATAAAGTCGTCAAACCTTAAATTGTTTCTATGTGAACTGGTCGAACAGAAAAGTTAAAGGTTCTTTTGAGATGAGAAATCTGAAGAAGAAATTTAAAAATCCGAAGAAAAAGAGAAAATAAATTTTAAACGTTGGTTTCCGTATGTTTAGCTGTTGCTTGTTATATTCTGTACGATATCCTATGCATTTTAGAATGTAAAATGAGCTCAAGAATCTATTTATTTCACAGCACTGAACTTAAAGAGGTCGAATTTTCAGTTTCATTGTGTCTACAACTGGTTGAAGTCTTCCTCAAAGAGTTGAACATTTGTGATCACGTGGATATGATCTGCCATACGATCAAGCTGCTTTTTCAATGTATTCGTAAGCAGCGACGGTTATTCGAAGAAAAGCTTGACCAAGAAAAGGGCCAGTTAGACGAGAGAAAAACTATTGACAGGCTGCTAAGTAGCCTGAGAGACAGGTTGTCCCGCGATCTCTATCATACCATGTCATCTAGTCCCAAGAGCGAACATCTAGCCAGAGAACTTTCGGTATGTAGCAAATAAGATTAATGTAATCAAAGTTATGATTACACGTGTCCTTACATGTAACTGACATAAGTAGTCAGTTAGTTTTTTGCTAAGGAATGTTTCAGATTGCATGGTTATCTTCTTGAAAAGCCTTTTTGATAGATCATTTCAGGCATGCTTTGATTCACTGATTCTTTAGGTGTGCTCTTTAAATGTTTCCCCTATTTTTGTTTCAGTTATGGAGCGAGTTGCTTTGGGTTACGGATGAAAATCAAGGATTTCCTGCTTACAGGCAGTTTTTGATAGATAGTCTGCTGCGTCGAGCAAGAAGGGTATGATGGAAACGAGTTTTGGAACGATTTGTTAAAAAGTAAAAGCATATTTACCCGCTTAAGGAGGAGAGAACGACAATTAAGCTCACTGCGAATGCTTATTGCATTTTGGTAGACTGTTGGTGAGCCTTCATAATTGCCAATCCTAGCAGCATTCGCTTTGCTTGTCACTCACAAACTAAACTAGACCTCCGTGTGGAATTCCATTTCGAAATCAGAAATGAATAGGGTTGAAATTTTAAAGGGGGACCCTATCCCAGTCTTGTCAGGTTATTCACCTCTTTTCTTCTCGTCATGGGTTTTCTTTTATATCTTTTCTAGTTGGAGGGAACGTACTTGGTTGAAATCTTTTGTGAAGTAGATATGGATGCATATGAAAGAGCTGTTGGAGAATCATTTTCTAATCTTGCCTGTGAAGCAGTGGAAAAGATTACTAGCGTGAGTTGCAAATGACATTTGTTCAGTTGATGGTTTATTCTGTGGTGTACTAAAACCGCGGTTCATCAAAGTAAAAAAAGGACGATAATCAATTGCTTTTGTTTCCTCATTTGGTGTTTTACTAGCACCAAGATATGAAGAAGTTTGTGGACAAGACAATCCTTCTTTTAAGTTTTATTCCGCAACGCAACGGTCTAATGTTTTTGTACTCACACACACACATACTATGAAAATATCTTTTGTTATAATGAAAGTTACGTAAGAGTAGATAATTTAGATATAGCCTAACTTTTTCACAGGTGCTTTTTGAACTCCCGGTTTCAGTCATTACTTCTATCGAGATTGTTGATTGTCGATTTTGTTAGCGGCTACCACTCGAAGAATTCAAACAGGCAAAACCTAAAACTGGTATACAACCAGAAAGACACTACTTAAAAGAGAGGAATTTTTTCAAGGTAGAGAATGATGAATTGTCAGTTTTAGTGGACGGTCTACAATTCAACTCTTAGTCACTCCTACAGAATCTTACGTCATTATGATACCTGATTGTAGACCTGATAATGATGAATTGGACATTCTATTTTAAAATATACAGGGTAAATCCTTGAGTAAGGTTTGCTGGTTACGCACTTGACCTTCATGAATGATCCGTTGATTTCGTTTTTTATTTAGTCAGCAAGAAGAGGAGACGACATACGCATATTTAACCATCTATCCAATTCAAAAGCAGGAAAATCCGGCCAGCTTTTGTCTATGTTTTTGACAAACTCGTGGCCAAAAGATGGAGAACGATCAGACACGTGTGGCTTAGACCCTCTAAGGGTGGAATTTCTTCTCACCTGGAAGCCAATGATTGGATACCTCAAGTTCACTAATAATCCTAAAATTTTAGGTAAATTTTTTTTACGGAACCTTTTATTGATAATGGCGAAAGGCTTATTATGGGGATGTGAACGTATGATGTAGACAAAAACAAAGTTAGATTTCCAATTTTAGGTATTACTCTGTGCCCTTATTGATTGAAAGAAATTTTAATTTTTTCTTTCTTACAGGAGATGAGTCTGGAAGGGGTGGTATACTTTCGGATGAATGCAAGGAGACCTTATTTTTGGCCAAATCGTTGCTGGACGCTCTTGTGAGAATCATATCAGATGGCTCAGTTACGTTTGAAGTGTTGCTCCTTCTGCAAAGGCACAAGGAAACGTTTTTGGAACTTGTAAAGACAAGTGTAGCAGAAATCAAAGATGCTAAGCTTAGTTTGGCTCACCGATTAGAAGAAATCCATAAGTTTTTTGAAGTGAAAGAAAATTTAGGCACATTCATTGGAATGTGTGATGTGATCCAGCCAGGTAGGAGATTTTGAAGCAACGATGTTTTTCGTTTGTTTTGTTCACCACTGTTTGTCTTCAACCTCAGCGTCAAGGAGGTAGCCCTTAGAAATATTTTAACGATGATATTAAGAGGGTAACAGCCTAGACAAGAGGAACGACGAGGAACGGCTTTCATTGGATGCTTCACACCCTTATCGTGAATTAGTGTGTGACTTTAATTTGTCTGGTGTATTGTTGAAAGTAATCTTTTTTTTCCCGCAGTTGATTCAACCAACCTCAAAGACAAAGTGCCTCAGGATGTTTCATCTTTCCAGATTCGAGATTTGTGCAAACGGAAAGACGACAACCAAATAGAAGTTACCTTTTTTAAAATTCCTCCGGCCCTAAAGGAGGTCCTTTCCGCACTGGTAAGAGTTCAAGAAAGCTTAACTTTCCAGGCTCTTTGGAAAAAATATGGGAATAAAGCACAAACAGCCAGGAAAAATGACGATACACGAAAACGACAGCTCAGTATTTCTGATGTTGTTGTAAACGTATGGAAACCAGCAATTACAAGTTGGACCCAAAATGTTGCTAGTGTCAAGGATGGCACAATATCCCTCGGAGATGTTGAGAAGCTCTTTGACGACTACAGAAACCGTAGAAAGGAACTTGAGCGAGAGTTATCCTGCATGCTTAATGTGAACACCGACCAGGCTATCAGCAACGCCAGAGAATTAAAGAAAACTGTCGGAGAGCGACTTGCTCAAATTCAACGTTACCAACAGCTTCATCAGTACGCCAGTGCAGCTGACACTATTTGGGAGTTTAAGGAGGCAATGGGTTTTACCGGGGACTTCAAAGTTGTCGAAGATCTGCGTAATCAGGTATCATGGTTTCTCTTGCTTATTGACGAGACTGAGTAAGTTTGGACAGTAAACACGAGTGTTTGTTTCAAAATGGGGTGCCGTTATTCATGATGGTGACTGCATTTGTGGTGAATTATATGCGTTTGTCTCACGACATGGGACCTGCCGATGTGGATTGGGATGTCTTTTTAGGCGCTGGAACTGCTAGTCTTCTTGAAGCGGCTGAAGAAGACAGGGTATGCAGTTGAAACGTCGCGAACCACATCAGAAGTGACTACATTGTGATAAAGAAGACTATACTTCATTTCAAACGAGTGTCTGTCCGTGGCCATTATATATATATTTTAAGCCAAATTGAGGAAGCTGTTATCTGTTGTCGAGTCTTCAAGATTGATTAAGGGAAATCATTCCGGAGAGCTCGTAATGTGGGTGTATTTTTGTGTTAGCTCAAATACTGTGCACACAAGAAGTGCACCTAACCCAATTATGTGATAAAAATTCTTTGATTTTCCATTTTTTGTTCTGATATAGCTATCAGTTGAGTTCAAGCAGAAGCCATTAAATAGTGTGGGGGAAAGCTTTTCAAAGGCCGGTCAAGCTCTTCAGGATTTGGATGTCGATAAAGCTCAATGCTTCAAAGCAGTGGTAGACAGTAAACGGCTGGTGGAGTGGCTCCGTTCTACTATCAAATGTAAGTTGGGGCGGACGGAAAGGGAGTGAGCGAATGTTAAGTACAAAACTAAAACAGTATCGCTAAACTCCCTAACCTACAGGTTGTTTACTAGATTTTGTTACACAAGTAAATATCACTTTTCACCAGTGCTGATTGGCTTGCTCTGAGGGGATTGGCCACCCAAAGAGAAAGCTATAGTTTCCACAAGAAGAAATGTTATCGTTGAGGGAAGAGACCATACCAAGAACAGAAAAAGGGTAAACAATTGATTTAAGCGTATTTAAAAGTAGGTTTGTTTATCTTTCCAACTTATTAATTTTCAAGTGAAATTTTCAAGTGAAATTTCAAAGTAAAATTTTTCTTTTAACGAAAACTGTGCAGGACTCACAGCTTTTACAGTATGAAAGAATGAACTGTGAAGTTTTTTGGTGCATGGTTTCAACAAAAAGACGAAGTTAAAGAAAATTGAAGAAACGACAGGGTAACAACGACCCGGTAGACTAGTGCCCTCGAGAGTTATATTTATTTGCTACAAAGTTTGACGGAAGTCTCTACAATAAGAAATCTCCGTCCGCTATTCGGGCAGCACCTACTCACGCGCATGCACTGCGCGGTGCGCGAAAGTTTGATCTTTGTTAGCGTCGGACAAAGACAAAATAATCCTTTTGGTTTGCAAGTTATTAATTTGGTATAGTGTATATTAAAGGAATTACTCATCTCGGTGTCTTTCAGAAGAAAATAATGAACGTCATAGCGTGTCTTTCGTTTTACAGCCACCCAGGAGCTAAAGGTTCTCGTTGACTTGGCCTTGATCTCTGCTGGTGAAAGCGACATGGAAACTGACCGCATATCCAGTCTGCATACCAGCTGTTTAGGTTTTGCTCCTCTGATATTCGACCTTAAAGAGAGCGAGGAACAAGGAGTGAGCTTTGATCAATTGATGAAAGCTTGTGATCCTGTATGGAAAGCAGTCGAGACGGATCAGATGTTACCCAAAAAACTGGTAAAAAATACTGGAATTTATGAATGCCTTAAATGCTTTCTTCTACGGCGTCTTTTTTGCCTTTACGTCCTTTAACTTTTACAGAACAAACTTCCCAAATTTGAAATAATTCTATCTGCTCTACTCATAAAGTTGTATGCTTATTGTTTGTTGTTTTTAACTCATTGTCATGCACAACAGCAAACAAAAGGAAAGTGAGAAGTGGAACAAAACGCGTGATTGATCTACGACTTTTAAATTTCTCGTAGTACGACACCAGCAGACATTTGGAATGGCTGAAAACTGTCAAAGAGTCTCATGGCTCGGTTGCTATGACGTCACTAGCGCAGGCCAAGATCATCAACTCCAGTGGTGTATATGTTGTGGGTCACTTGGATAACGAAAATTGTCCGTTACCAGAACAAGGAAAACGATTGTCAATCAAAGATGTGATCCAACTTACGGTTCCCCTAAAGGATGGAAGTGAAAAGGAACAGCGGAAAACGTACTCTATTGACGAACTAAAGGATTTGCAGAGTAAATTGATGTTGATTGCAGGAAAAGCTGAAAAGGGGAAGGATGACGTGGAACAGTTTGTGAGGGTGAGTTGTAGTAAAATGTGGATAGTTATTCGTAGAAGATTTTGTTACTACTAACTGAGTGAAATATTTTAATTATAGAATCTTGAAGGTGTCATGCGTTTAGCGAATGCATACATCGATCTGTTTGAAGCTGGTTACATTCATCGCATGGATTGGAACCAAGAATTTCACTGTAGCAAAGACCAAGTCGCGGGCGAATCTATTGCAGAGGAACTGGAAGAGGAAAGCTCCTTTATGGAAACGTGTTATATGAACTGGAAGAATAAAGTCAGCGATGCAAGGAAGGAGTATAGAGAATTGAACTACTTTACAACACAGCAGTTGATGATACTAAGGAAGGAAATTGCAAAAGTTTGCCACAGCAATGACCTTGCCATGAGCGACATTCAAGTACTCACTTTACTAGAAAGTGTTCGTCCCAATTTGACCAGTGAACAGTTAAAATCAGCAATAGAGCGTGCTTTTAAGGACACAGATATGCTAGAGAACGCTAGAGGCACAGCGCCGTTACCTTCGTTCACTCACGCTCTATCACGGTGCGAAATGGTAACTCGCAAGTCAGTATTCGACAATAACAGCGATACAAGCACGAGTTCCTCGACAGCATTCAGTGTGTGTCAAGTACAAACTGTATCCTTAAAAAAACCAAAGCCAAGGGAGACATCAAAGATTCAAAAATTCTTGAACGCAGCCGCGGATGATGGTTATTCGGAGCAGATTGCTGTGGCTGCTTTAGCAAGTTTGGGTGATGATGCAGAAGAAGACGACCTACTGCTGTGGTGTCTAGAGGAAGCCGACGAGGCTGACATTGAGGCTCTTTACGAAGAAGCAAAGCAAAATCCTGTGATTGCCCGAGAAATCTTCGCAAATGAGCTCGAGTCTGTTGAGCAGGAAATGTTGGCCGAAGATCAAGGGTATGTTAGTAATACGAACAAAATTAACTTCGACATAACAAGGAACATCATTGAAGATTAGTATAAAGTAATTCATCATACTCAGTGAACAAGATTAAAGTTCACGAGAGAGAGCTACTATCACTGTTTACGCAGGATTCCTGTTATAATAGTTATAATTTGGTTTCAAGCAGAAATAGTTTGATTGTAATGGCGATGCCGTCAACTTGATGGTGTTCGAGATAATGTATGCAAGCAGCAATCAAAACCTGAATTTTTATTGTTTGTCACTTCCTCTAGTGAAAACGAGTCGGAGCCAGACATGGTACCGATTTCGTCCTTTCTCGCTGAGACCAATATTGATGAGCAGGAGGTTAGCGGAGACGAAGACAATGAGGCAGAAATCAGTCAGTATCTTACACTCACTCAGCTTGGGAACATCCTTAGGGAACTTTCAGTTCTAGGTAAACCCTTACTTGTACCATGGAAAGTTTACAGCCGTGATAATAAGTATTATCTCCATTTACTAGACTATAAACATGATATTATGATCACATTTTCAGGAAGTGAAGCAGTAGCCCGCAATTTTCCAGCATTCTTGAAAAGAGGACGACCCAACCTCATGCTTGTTCCGAAAGGTAAGTCAAATAGGATCCAAGGAGCATCTAATCAGTACTATTTTTGAAGTTTCCAATTGCTTACTTCCTTTTTGTCTTGTTGCAATTTAATACTCATAACAGGACGCTACTTACAGTTGGATTTGTGCTTTGCTTACCCTATTTTTGTAGATGACATCCTTGCTACAGTCCTTGCCTTGTATATGCACGACAAGAAGCAGCCATTGCCAAGCCATGAAGAGGTGCTGCTGTGCACTCCTAATACTACAACAGAAGAGGTACAGTGTACCTGTCGGAAGAATTTCATATGTATACTTTTTGACCGTTCATGATACGATAAGTATTTAAGGTCCTTAGTTACCGAAGATACCTCTTCTGGATTCTAACTCTTGTGCATTGAGGAAGGCAGGACAATTCCCACCTAGTGAGTCGGTTACCCTATCTCATTTGAATTTTTTTCATCTATTTGTTTTCCTTTGACATAGATCGAACTGTTATGGAGACGTGCAACAGGGGATGTAGAGGGTCGCTTTTATTGCCTCGTACATGCAGATGTGTTGGACTTCTCTGTCAGTAAACAAGCAGTAGAGATGCTTAGCGTAGTGACACAGGGACTTGCTGGCAAGGATGGAGAACGTAAGTTCAGCTTTAAGTTACATGACATATTTTGTTTTGGAATGGGGAACTATGGTCACATGATAGCTAATCGTGCTTACCCTTAAGAACAATGGATGACTAAAATCATTACTTCTCAGATTATGGCCTGGTGGTAATCTGCAGTAGTGAATATGAAGATCGTGCCCACGTAGTCGCAGCTCTTGATCAGTATCGTGTTGCTGCTCCACCTTGTCCTTCGCCAGAAGATTTAAAGAGTTACCTCAAGCATCAATTTCAAGCAACCCCTTCTCAGTACGGATACATCGGTAGTAGTAGGATAAATTGGACAACAGCTGGATCCTTAGACCCAGAAAGGTAAGTTCTCGCTGACGTTCCTACAAATTATGACAGGGAAGCCTCCATTCTAGAGATACCCTCGGAGTTAGAAATTGTCCACAGATGGCAGATTAAAAGTTTTTCTAGGTATTTTTTTTCAAATTGGACTACAGTTCTCTTCCATATAAAAGAGAGACTGCGTTGTATTGTTCAAGCTGTATGGCTCGAAATAGCGTTTTTTATGAGAATTGGTGTGATTAAATAGCTGATTTTCTTTTAGACTCTGTGTCCGAGTTGTGTCATCACACCGAGGAGGCTTGGGAAAGACTCTGTTTGTTCGTCGCTTAACAGAACAGTTGCCTAACCTCGTAAACAACGACATGGTTATGACAAATTTGCGAAGGCAAGACTCTAAAACATTCTTGCATGTGACCGTACCACTTCATGGGAATTCCACTGACTCATCAATGCTTGTTGATGCGCTTCTTCCTCATGCAGTGAAGGCTAATGTACCGCTGTCCCGTATTTTTCATCTGGACGTGTCACCTTCGGTAAGAAACTACATGTAGATACATGCGAGTCTTAAATATTGTTAAATATTACTACTCAGCTAGTACATGTCTTCAGTCACGCCAAAGGGCCATATCAACATTGTTCATGTAAAAGTGCTGTCAGTAAAATTTGAGTAAACGTTATTCTGGTTCCATATTTCTTATCATTTCATACTATCAGGGCAACAACAACATTTGTTTCTTAAATGTTTGCAAGCTCTTATTATCCTCTCCTGATTTGCAGTCATTAGGCCACAACTTTTCCCTTTTGTTTTTATTTTATGAAACATTGTGTTCTCCTTTCAGATGAGACGTGGTCTGGACACCCTTATATTTAACCTCCTCGTTCTTGGCTACCTTTGTGATAAGATGGGTAGAGTATGGAGGAGACGAAGCACAGACATGTACGTTATTGAGATTACGACAGTTGCTCCCCTGCCCATGGGTTTCACTAGGGAGGAAGAAGCTCAAAGTCAAGGGGTGAGTGATAAAGTTGGAGAGGGAGTGAATGTAATCTATAGACATTAAATCAAAAGAAAAATGCAATGAGACTCTCATGGAGAGGTTCTTCGTCCATTGTTTTTTCGGTTAATTGATACTTCTAGCTCTGAGTTTGCGGCAAGGGGTTACAGAACCAAAAATAAGGTTAACCCATATGTCACGGCATCTAGTCTGGGAATCGAACACGTGGCCCCTTAGTAAACAGCTGGTGCTCTGAGAACATGTGGTGTTAACCCTAAGGGGTTGGGATCCTTGTACAAAGTGAATTATTCCGCCAATGTTTGTGATGTCTACTTTTCATTTGATTTTCAGAGACAAGCTGGAAAATCTACAATGTCTAAGCGGCCTTTTTATGACCTGCTACCAAACATCGAGTGCCAAACTCCAAGAACTGTTCTCTGCCGTTTAGCAGATACTCAAGGTATTAAACTGAGATTTTCTTTCAATCAGCAATTAGTATCTAACACTGAAGTGAGCTTCCTTAATTTTGTTCTAGATAAAAAAGACTGCAATCCTTTGTTTGATGTCAAAGAGTTTCGAAACGCACCGTTCCAGAGAGTGTATCAATATCTGAAACTGTCAAGTGAGGGCAAGGGTCTGGACAAGTTTACGTTCTCACCAGCAGATGTTGATGAAGATCAAAGGACGTGCCTCGTGCTCCTTCTCAGGTTTGTTATACGTAGCTTCTTGGATGCTTTTAACGTGTGGTATGTAGTGTTTGCCGACTCTTTCTTTGCTGAAAGGTACACTAACAATTTAGAAATAGAATGTGAGAGGTTTCTTGTGAGGGAGACGACCCTTTTCAATACGCTGCTTTAGACAAACAGTAGCAAGTGAGTGATTTATCTTTCTTGTAGAAGGTTGTTTAAACAAGGTATTTGAATGCTGCCATCATGGTTACTTACTACTGTTTCCTTTACAGAAATTGCGGTATTCCTGATCCGTCGTGGTCAGAGATTCGTCATTTTGTGAGTTTCCTGAACTCGCAGCTCCGAGATTGTGAACAGAGTTTTTACTGCGACATGCAGCTGATGAGGGCTATTTTAGCAGGACCCAATGTGCTGAATCTCGAAGGGTTCCGCTCTTTTGTTGTGCGCTTTATGATACAAATGTCAAGGGTAAGCTGGCTCTTCAAATCTTTGCTAACGTGACTTTCTCATAGCGTCAGGCTTACTCTGACAGTTCCAGCAGTAAAACGCATGCGCACCTATCTTGGTTTTTCATATTTAGAATGGCGTCCTTGTAACAGGGGAAAGTTGAAAGTTTTCTTTGCATGGACTTTGGCTTTTAAAAAATCTTCGTTTTCATAGAATTTAATCTCGCTATCTATGACGTATGGTTTAGTAGTGTGCAGCCAAATCCTTTATTAATTAATGAGACAAGTTTAAGGAAGTAAAGAACTCAGATACTTGACCCTCGCTCATACCCAAAGTTGAATTTCAAAGTATTACCTTGATAAGTGGAGCTTCTGACTTTTTATAACATTCCTTGGTGGCTTTGCAGCAGCAGTGAGTACCATGAAGACTTTCCTTTCCTTTTTAGGATTTTGCTACTCCATCTCTGACAGAAGAGAACACTGTATTCTATACAGAGGACAACGCAGAGCTTGAACGGAAAGAGATCGAACAGTTTCAACTGAGAAGACGCTGGGAAAGCAGGTGAGAGCTTAACTGTTCTTTTTTTTGCTGTAATTCACAATTTCACATGTTTTTATTGCTGCTGCTACTTGTTTTGTGACAAGATTAATCTAGGCAGGTTGACTTTTCAGTCGCAATTGTAGCGGCAACTCGCTTTGTGCTAAAATTACTAGACTAGGAGTATATACTTTGTTTTAATCTCCCATGTTTTACACGTTGAGTGTCAAATGATAGTTTTTTGTTATGCAGTCCTCATCCATACTTGTTCTTCAATCAAGACCACATAACTATGACGTTTCTTGGTTTCTTCATCAATTCCGCTGGTGATCTTGTTGACCCACAAACAAGTAAAACTTTGGAAAAAGGGTTAATGTCGAAACCATTGCGAAATGGACTGCAGGCCCAAGGTGTCGATTTTGCAACAAACATGGAGACTTCCAGGAAGTAAGTGCTGGACAATAAGCCCCTTTGTCTACCATACATCGTTATTGCAAGTAACCTTGGTTTCTCTAGAAGCCAACATTTAAGATTTAGGGTAGATTGGAAAGTTATTGCTGAAAAGTTGATAAATTATTTCTTATGAAGTGTGTGGTAAGACTGGTATAATTCTTGGAAGAGAGGTCCATGGCATATGGAATCTATAGGGGGAGTTCAACCGGCTCCGATGTACCCTAAGATAGGGAAAAAAGGTGAAATTTCGCCCAAACAAAATAAAAACGTGATAACTTGTGAGCAGCATGTTTATTCTGTTTTAGAGAGGACAAGATAAATCAGTTATGCTCTGTGATGGGTGTAAACTGGTTGTACGATCCAGACAGAGCCTATGAACTAACTACAGACAATGTCAAGAAGATTCTAGCAATTCATATGAGGTTCAGGTAAGCAACGCAGATTAAGCTCAGATTATGCAAGGTTCAGAGCAAATTCAACTCTCAGTCTACATGCATTGCAACGAAACGTAAACGTATCCAAGACAAACTCTAAACACTTTTTCAACACTATTTTCTTTTAACCAACGAAGGAAATAGGTTTTTATTCACGTGCGAGCTTTAAAATTTACAGATGCAACATCCCTGTGATCGTGATGGGAGAGACTGGTTGTGGAAAGACCCGTCTCATTCGATACATGTGCGGCTTACAAGCAGGTCCTGAAGGACCCCGAAACATGCTTCTTGTTAAGGTGCGTTGACAACTAAAATTCGAATTTTTCTTTGTACTATCAGTGTCCTGATACCATATTTTGCAGGTGATTACGAAGGAAAAGATGATGTTTATTATGATGGTAGCTATTGTTATGTAGAGCTCCTGGTGGAGGTTGTGGTGGTGGTGGTAATAAAACTGGTGTTACTCCTCTTTCTGGAGATTGCATCGGTGTTGAAGTGGATGTTGATGCAGATGGGGATGCTGTTGAGGTAGTGATAGTGCAGTTTTGTTGGTGGGATCATTTTGATGGTGAAGGTGGTGGTGGATGTAATGGTAGCATTGAAGATTGAGATGGTTTTGGTGGTGGTGTTGTCGGTGGTAGTGGTGTTGGTGGCACTGCTGCTGCTGGTGACAGTGCTGGTGTTAGAAATGTGTTGTTTCTGGAAACAGGGATGTGGGGGAGGAGGTCATAGTGGTTGGGCTTGTGTGGTAGACCTGGTGGGATACATTGTAGGGGTGGTGATGGTGTTACCGCTGGTGGTGGTTACAAAATGGGGAGATTTGGGTGAAGCTGCTGCTCTTAATCGTGGTTGAAAACGTAGGGTCATTGATGATCGTGTGGATGATGTTTTTGCTGCGAATGGTGATGGTAATGATTTTGATGGTGGCGGTTGAGCTACAGAAGGTTGGCAAAATATTAAGGCGGTGGTGGTAAGGATAAAGTTGGATGTGTGGTCCAAATATAAAGGGCTCGTGGTACTGGAACTGTTTGCTGTCGTATTGGGGTAGTGGTGCTGGTAGTGGTGTTGTATCTCATGGTGGTGATCGATATATTGGTGAAGATGTTGGAGTGGTATTGACTACAGTGCTGCTGCCAACGATAGAAGGGTTGCGAATTTTTTCAAGTCAAGGTTTTCAGCCTTTTTGTATCTCTAACAGAAAATATGTTAAACGTAACACCAACTCAGGAAGTCATATACGCTCCTTTTAGTCGTCAAACAATTTTCTTTTCAAGGTTCATGGGGGTACAACATACGAAGATATCAAGCACAAAGTTAACCAAGCAGAAGACATGGCTCGAGCAAATCAAGATAAGAATATTGACACGGTTTTGTTCTTTGATGAAGCCAACACTACTGAAGCACTTACCATGATTAAGGAAGTTATGGTGGACCGAAGAATCAATGGTCGGCCTATTGGACAAGGACTGGAAAGACTACAGTTCATCGCTGCCTGTAATCCTTATAGAAGGTAAAACGTGTTATTCTTTCCAACCTAAACTGAGCGACATTAATAGCACTTTAAATTCCTCAAAATCCAACATGTGTCTCGGAAGTGAATGGTTATAATAAAGTAGTGTTTTGTTATGTATATTTAGGCACACAGATGAGATGATCCACAAGCTGGAGTCAGCTGGTCTTGGATATCATGTGAAAGCGGATGAATCAGAAGATCGGCTGGGTAGGGGAAGTTAGAGCGTGAATTTCCCTAGAATTTTTTCCCTGTTTCGAAGAATTTTGTTCGCAAATTGAGAATTGTTTTTGAGAAAAAAGAGTATTAACGGAACTACAGGTGGTGCCTTGTTCAAAGAAAACTTTTTCGTGGAAGCTTCAATCTTGACTGCTTCCTAAAAGGGAAGGAACTTGCGTAGCAATGTACTGTCCCATCGACAGTTCCCTGTTAGCTGTCTCCTGGCAGTTGCGACAGGCTCTGATCATCTAAGTTGGGCTACACCCTGAAAAAATATAGTCGCGGTCGAGAACAGGGATATTATGTCCCATATGCAATGTGGTAAAGCCTGGTAGTGACTTTAACAGTCGCTTGGTAATTGATTTTTGTAATAATTGTTCTCTACAGGTCATATCCCATTGCGTCATCTCGTGTACCGTGTACACGCCCTCCCAGGGAGCATGCGCCCGTTGATATGGGATTTTGGTCAACTGAAACCAGATGTAGAGATACTGTATACTAACCAAATTGTCAGTCGCTACGTAAGTGGTTTCTAATAGTCCTGATGATCTTTCTAATCTATTAATTATCAGTCCTCTGTCGGGGAAATGAATCTAGAAGTGCATGACATGTCCAAGAGAACTGAATGAACCTTTTTACTGAATCCATGATATGGTAAAGGGAAGAAAACATTCTGAATCACGATGCGAAGCTGGAGTACAGCAAGAATGGCATGTAGTTACTTTTATCCCTCTGATCGTATGATTAAATCGTTGCAGCAATAGAGCGTCAATCTACCAAACTAGGGTAGAATTGTTACTTTGTCTTTTTCTGTTTTCTGGAACAGCCAAGAGTGTAAATAGCAAACGCCATTTAACTCCCCCCTGGAATATATTTCGTTCAATTTTATATCGCTACTTTGTGTTTCGGCTCTCTTTTTGACAGATTCTTCACGAAAGCCAACTAGCAGGAGACTCTTCGACAGTAAAAGCAGTCGCTGAGGTACTGGCAGCATCGCAAAAATATATGAGAGATCAATCGGTGCGTGAAAAGTTTTGTAACACATTTTTGTGCTTTAGCGCTTCTGTGCAGAATTTGCTTTTTCCATCGCTCGGTTGCGGTGCCAGCCCAAAGAGAAAATAACCTATTTTTTCTATTCAAGGATGAGTGCAGCTTTGTTAGTCTCCGTGATGTCGAGAGAGCCATGCAAGTGATGGTCTGGTTTTATAAGCACGTGGACGCACTCGCAAGACTTATGAGAAAGGTGACCGCTGAGCAACGAACGGAGGAAGATTTCGACGTCGATGAAGATTATGAGGAGGAAGAGGTGATAATAAAGCGATTGAAATTTTATGCTCCTTTAAATGGATCAACCACTGGCAACTTTAGCATCGTTCCTAGAACTAAACGAAAACAAGATTTGCGTCATAAAGAATCCCACAGAACTTCAGAATGAGTTATTTTCGAGTTCTAGAAATCCTCTCTATCAGGTAGAAAACGTTTCTTGAAACTCAGTTTTTTTGCACGAAAATTGGACTCAGAAAGAAGGTAAACTCTGAAAACATTCCACGATTTGGGCACCTCGGAAGTACCTTATTATTGTAGGGTCCTACATACAATGAGTCGGAATAAAGTACTAAACATATGATCCTATAGGGCACCAGCTTGCTCAAACTACAAATAGAAGTGTGTAACTATGAGAAAGTCCAATTGTGTTTGAGGGGTGTTTAGAGCGGGACCGCAACAATCCCATTGAAAAGCATCATGATAGATTTTTTATTCTGTAGGATAAAATAACTCCTCTTACCCGTGCCCTGGTACTCGCCATTGGTGTCTGCTATCATGCCAAGCTTCAGGAGCGGCGTGAACAATATCGTATTGTCGTGGCACGCAGCTTTAAGGCGCCATGTTTGCTTCCAGGTGGTCACAAGCAGATCCTCCGCGAGATTTCGAGGTATGACAAAGTTAAATGCAACACGCAGTCTGTTTCATGCGCAAAAATTAATGAACCAGCTTCTTGAACCATTTCCATACCCGAATAAAACGACATGTATGGTCACCAGTCCATTGATAATTCTACCACGTGTATTTTATTAAGACAAAGAAGGTTTTGGTCCATATTTATGTGGTGTCAAGAAGGCGAGTTATGGAGTTTGGGTTTTTACTCCCATCTTTACTCTCATCTGCGCTAGCTCTCTACAGATCTAAGCAAGCAATTTATCTCATGTGTAACCATTTTTGTTTTTGGCAGTTGTCAAAAAGCTGTGCTAAACGAGTTGGAACTGGGCCCCAACATAGCACGCAACACAGCTTTGAGTGAAAATGTTTTTATGATGGTGGTATGCATTGAGCTCAGGATCCCATTATTTGTGGTTGGAAAACCAGGCAGCTCAAAATCTTTGGCCAAGACAGTTGTTGCTGATAATATGCAAGGCGATGCTGCAAGATCTCCATTATTCAAGACCTTCAAGCAGGTTATATGGCCTTTTAGATACACCGTTACTTCATTTTCCTCTTTCCACAAGGATTGACGTAATCGGTACTCGTAGGAGATATGTTGATCTCGCGCTAGTTAGTGTGCTGGAAAGATCCAAGTTCGTACCCTACCCGGCTTGGTTATTATTAATATTGGGTTATTATTGACTTAGGCGAGATAATAGTTTCTCGCTGCACCAAAGAGTATGAATGGTGACCAGCATACTTTCAGGAAAACTTGATGAATTGCGAGGGGGTATTGGTGAACCATTCGCAATTTGGGCACAATCAGTTTTACGCGCCTCAGGTAGTTTACGTCTTCTCTACGTTTTTTAATTGGGAGGTTTACAATAAACAGGAATGTCAATTTCAGAGTTACACCAAGCAACTTTAAAACCCTTCCCACCCCAAAAAGTGTTGAATGCCTAGCATTCTTATGTTTACTTCGTGGTCCGTTGTTGAAAGACAGTATGATTATTTACTTCGGTCTAGGTCCACATGGCATCGTATCAGTGCAGTCCTCTTTCAACCCCTGAGGGTATCGTGGCGACTTTCAAGCAGTGTAGCAAGTTACAAGAGGGAAAAAATCCAGACAAGTTTGTTTCAGTTGTAGTCCTTGATGAGGTTGGTCTGGCTGAAGACTCTCCTCTTATGCCTCTTAAAACTTTACATCCTTTGCTCGAGGATGGTGTAACATCTGCTGATGACGTCATCGAGACTGACGAGAAACCGCAGCGCGTAGCTTTCATTGGAATCTCAAATTGGGCCCTGGATCCCGCCAAAATGAACCGTGGGATCATGCTGTCACGTGGGGTTCCAAGCAAGGGAGAACTTATAGACAGTGCTATGTAAGTGAATTGTTTGGTATTCTTTCGCTATGACACTTATATTCACACATGTGACAATGTTACGGCAGCACAAATAGTTTTGTTGTACCATGTGAGAACCGTCATAAATATGGTAAAAAAGCCTTGTGACACAAATTGATCAAATCCCTTTTGATCTCCGTTAAAAATGATGGCCTTTAAAATCCTCCACCCACTATGATACGGTGAAAACTCCGTTTTCTCGAAAATTGATATCAGACATCCCTTACTTTCCTTACACATTTGAGTATTGTTTTCCAGGGGAATTTGCTCCACGGATGAAGTGGTGAAAGCTCTCATATCTTCTCTTATATCTCCACTGGCCGCTGGATATGCACAACTTTACAAGGAACAGAAAAATTTTACAACGTTAAAGAACTGTGGCAAAGAAGAATTTTTCGGTCTTCGTGACTTTTACAGGTTTGATATCTGAGAGCGTACCATTTGAATCGACCCTTTCTAGCTCGCTTCTTTAATGATGAATGTACTCGGTAGTTATGTGCTCGAAGTGATTTACTTCTTTTGTCTCTTTACGCAAGTCTCATTAAGATGGTGTACGCGATCGCTGCAAAATCTCAACAGAGACCTCGGTGGCATGAACTAGAACACGCCATTAAGAGGAACTTTGGTGGTCTGATTGAAGGAGACCCTGTGGAGATATTTAAACGCTTTTATACCGAAAAGGATGTAAGTAGACACATAAGTAAAGCTGAGTGTCGAAGTTGCTTTTACATTGCGTCGACTGTACTTCACTACGCTAAACCCAGTCATAAAGCACTCTGAATTGGTACCTCAAATCGTGACTGCAAGTCTGATATAGAGTATTATTCACACTAAATTTTACGGGTTTTTTTATTTTCATCGGGTTGATACATGTATGTTTAGCTCGGAAATTTAGGTAACACTGGGGAAGGACTTTAGTACTTGCTAACCTGATTTTGCCTTGTTAATGAAGGATGAATACGTGGTGGAAACCTCCACGACAATAAGGTTGATCGAGGCGAGTCTTGGAAGGGAAGACGTTGCAGATAGAGCCAATTTCAGGTACATGGGCGGTTGATCCCAGCCCATTTTTTTATTACTTCGTTTGTTGGTTTGTCGAGTCGTACAAAACTAGCTGACATAAAATACTGAAGGCTAACTTTTCATGTTGACTAAATTTCTAACAGTGAAAACCGTTACCTTCTGATTCTGACTGAAAATTACGCCGCCCTACCCATCATGCAGCAGCATCTTTTGAGGGCAGCGGATGATGCAGTGGTCATCTTTGGGAGCAGTTTTCCAAATGACCAGGAATACACTCAGGTAAAAAGAATGGACCGACGGACTCTTTGTTTGCATCTTACGAGAATGGTAGTATTCTAATCAATTTTATTGCTGCTAAAAGGGTTCTTTTAATTACAGTTTGGGTCAGTGTCCGACCTTTCAGGATAATACTTGTGGCACGACGTATTGTACTCAGGACCTACTATCAAACGATTTTAGAGATTGTGGGAGAAATAAACTCTGATGATATGAAAACGTAAATTTATGGTTAAAGTTTCTGGTGTTCAGCACAGGAATCCTAGAGTAAATGGTTTAACTATAAAACTGATGTATGACCTTGATATCCAGATTTGTCGCAACATCAATCGCATCAAGGTTTGTATGGAGACAGGAAGAACAGTGATCTTATTGAACCTTGAAAGTCTCTACGAGAGTCTGTACGACGCCCTAAATCAGGTATAAGATATCCGTTGTAAATATTGTACATTTTGTTATTGTTATTTTGTATGTTAAGTCGAGGTTTCAATGAGATTGTACATGTGCTGAAGTGGAAAAGGCTTGGAGATGCTAAGTCTCATTTCTTGGTCTGCTGTATTTCTAGTATTATGTGTACTTTGGAGGACAGAAGTATGTGGATCTTGGGCTTGGTACTCACCGCGTCAAATGTCGTGTTGATGATGGCTTCAAGTAAGAATTTGGGTGATTACCTAGTATTAAGTCTGGATCTTTTCGTTACTTTTTGTTATTAGGTCCAAAATGTTATTTTTTGGTTAAAGAGAACAGAAGAAGTTTAGCTCTCTCCCAACGTTCTCTCAATTGGATAGCAACGTCTTCCTAGTGTCTAGGAAGCACGAGTTCAAATCCTGTCAAATCTTTGTTAATTTCACTCTTTTTCGTTATTGTGGTTCAGCTGCCCGGGCCATTTTGTTACTTGTTATCCTTCGTGGGTCGAAAAGATGATTTATTTCGTTCACACTATTATGTTGAGGGTTATTAATAATAGGTAGTACTTCTGTTTTATCACAAATTCCTCTTTGAACTTCTATATCTATCGACTCTGAACGGCCAGACAAAAAGCATAATAAATGTAGATGTGCTCTTTACAATGTAGTCTCCTTCGCAGCCTTTGTTTGGATTGCTTTTGCAAGACAATTCCGAGCATTTATCGTTTTCATAGTCACGTTCTTTCCTTCGTTTTCCTCCATAAACCTAGAGCCAGTGAACCATGTAGCCTTTACCTATTGTTTTCATTGCTTTGAATTTAAAGTTTCTTTCCCTCGCTCAGATTGATAGTGATTGCTGAAAAGGACGTGGTCTATAACAACTTTCCCATTCCGTTGATCAACCGCCTGGAGAAACACTTTCTTGTCACCTTAACAAGTTTGACTTCTGACCAGAAGGACTTGGTGCAGAAAATGAGGACCTGGGTCGCTGAATTTGCTGAGGTTTCTGGTGAAGGTAGATGTGGCAGGTGAGTTGTTACAAAAAGGGCTTCGAGGCTTTTGTTTTGAGGACATTCAATTTTATCGCATTGTGCTGTGTTCGGAATACTGCACGATTTTAACAGTGCTTTGTGCGCATAATAATAAAAGAAACTGGTGGGTTTTTCTCAATGTCGGAATTTCGCCGAAGAGGTGCAATTTAAAATGTAAACACGCTAAAGCGTATGCAAAACATATTCGTAGTATTAATATTTTATAGATTGTGGGCTACTTTCTCTTAATATTTGATAATTTATGTTTTACGACAGGGACTTCTCCATCGGAGACGCTTTTGTTGGATTTCACGAGGATACAATTCCCTCCATTGTCATGCAAGTCTGTAATGATATCGAAGGAGAAGATCACTCAGCGGCAAGTGATGACACAGAGGATACGTGGGAAATGAACGTGAGCTGTACAGAAATCTTGTTTCGAGATAATACATCTTGATGGCTTGTGCATATTTTAACAACTGGGGTATTTTGTGAGTTGCATGAATTTGTACACTGTTGGAAACCGTTCGCCATCCCAGCGAGCAAATTTTACCAGAGTATGCTTAGCAATCGATAGGAGGATTAATAATTCGATGTAATTTGCTTATATTTTTTCCCAGTGAATTATTAAAAATACGTATTTTGTTACGGATTTGAGATTTCTGATCAATCATCCCGAGATACGTGCGAAAGATTAGATGCCTGCAACATGAATTGGGCCAGCAAAGTAACGTTTAGGTGTCTCTTCTCTCACTTACTAGGTACTTCGAAGATCTCAGGTGATGCTTTTGGAGATGGCTACTCCTGATGCAATTGCTCGCCTTCCTCACACTGCTTTAGAAAGACGAGCCCCTCATATCTGGAATGCCTACTTTAAAGAACAACAACACTCAAGTTTGGCGGCGTTCATGTCGCATGTGCTCAATTTGGAGGATGGTCGTCTTGATGAAAAGCGTAAGGAGGGGCTCTTGATTCAGGTAAGTGATAGATTGGAGTGTCGTTAGTAAATCGTCTATTGTATAGTTTGCTTCTCTCTTGAGTAAGATAGAGAACTTAAAAAGTACATAAGTGGCGATACTTACACGCGCTAACAACACAGTAACGGTAACATGTGTAAAGGGGTAAGTCAAACTAAGGACATTTATGTGGTACAACGTCATACAAGGCGTTCGAGCACGCCCATAACTTACGTCCCATCATCAAAACATGTTTCATTGAACCAGGTGTTGTGGTACTGGTAAACAAATCCGGGACCTTCGGAGAAGGTTGACGTGTACAGAATAGAACATGGCGGTTTTCTTCTGACTTTGTGTCCATTACTTTGTGTTACCAATACTACATTGGCGGCGAGGATAGGTAAAGAATTTTTGGAGTAGTCTTCGTTGCAGAAAAGGAAGTTACTGGGAACCAGAAACATCACTTTAGCACAAATCTTGGTGAAGGTGAGAACTTCGGAAGTGGCGGGCCAGCAGGTAAAGCACATGGCGAGTGGATCGGATGTTAATGCAGTGCGGAAAAAGGAGGAAAAGCCAAAAGATCAGTCGAGGAAAACATGCTTTAATTGTGGAAAGACAGGACATTTTGCCCGCGATCCCTATTGTCCAGCGAAAGGGAGAAAATGTGCCAAGTGCTTGAGATATGGCCATTTTGCTTGGTGCTACAAAAGTCACGGTTGCTCGGCAACTGATCAAGGGAGAGGGGCCGATTCGAGAAAAGCGAGTGACAACAAAAAGCATTTGGGAAGACAAAAAAACCATGTTGAATATCCGCGGGAGGGCAACGGTTGTGATATGGAAAACCCTGCCTTTGCTTTTGTGGTGACTGAAGATAACAAAGAATGTGGGGTGTCATCATCAAGTGAGCCCATGATAAATGCTCAGGAAGTTTTGATTGATTCTGGATCTGTAAGCAATATGATCGGGGAAGAAGATTTAAAGAGGTTGAAGATTGCAGGTTTTAATGGGGAAATTGAACATCGTTCCAAGAAACTATTTGCCTATGGTGGCAAGAAAACTGATGTTGTTGGCCAATGTGAGGCTGAAATTTCCGCAGGGAATACTAAAGTAACCTCTAAATTCATAGTGGTCAAGGAAGAGCATTGCATTCTGGGAAATGGTACTGCAAAGGATCTTGGTGTCCTTCACACTGAGCCAAGAGTTATACCTGTAAGCGATAACTGCAATGAGATAAAGAGCGACTTTGTCGACTCACTGATAGCTCAGTACCCTAAGGTGCTCAGGGGAATTGGAAAGCTCAAAGATTTTCAATTGAAGTTACTTGTAAACCCAAATGTACCATCAGTGGCGCTGAAAGTGAGGCGGGTACCATTTGCACTACGTGAAAAAGTGGAAGCTAAAATAGAAGAACTGTTAGAAGCCGATATCATTGAAAGGGCTGATGGCCCCACCACATGGGCAAGCCCAGTTGTCATAACACCCAAGCCTAATGGCGACATCAGACTTTGTGTGGACATGCGGCGGGCAAACGAGGCAATTGTTAACGCTTGCCGATATCCACTGTTGATGAGGTTTTGGAAGAACTCAATGGAAGTTCAGTTTTTATAGCTTTCACCAGATTGAGCTCCACCCAGATTGCAGGGACATTACCACCTTTCTAACAGACGAGAGTTTGTTTCGTTATAGGATGTTGAGCTTCGGGGTAAATGCAGCTCCTGAGAAATATCAACACATCATCAGACAAGTCATCGCAGACGTTGATGAAGTTGTAAAAATTGCTGATGATTTGGTTGTTCACAATAAGACGGTTGCTGAACATGATCGAAATTTACATAAGCTATTGGCAAGACTGGAAGATGAGAACCTTACATTAAATGGCGGCGAGTGTACCTTTGGATTTAATATGAAGTTCATATATTCATCGTGTGATTTATCATCACGGGTTTATTACGAATCAACTTAACGGCCTGCTCCCAGTTGGCTTGTTAGCTCAATTGGTAGAGCGCTGCACTAGTATCGCAGAGGTCAGTGGTTCGAGTCCCGTACAGGCCTGATTTTTTTCAGGTCTGATTTTCGCTATTGCATAAATAGCGCTGTCTACTGCGAGGATCGTGCATCATACGAGTTAACTTACATTGGCTAAGTGGTGTTAGGAGGGACAAGGATTGTGGTTCCCGGAAAGCAGCGGAGGAGAGTTCTTGAATTACCCCATGAAGGGCGTTAGGGAATCGTGAAAACCAAGGAACGCCTGAGAACGAAGGTTTGGCGGCCAGGCATCGATAAAGATGCCGTGAGAAAATGCAGGAATGTTTTGATTGGCAGTTGGTGTCACAGCAAGCTTCACCACCACCCATTAAACCCACCAGACTGCCTGAGAGAGCCTGGCAGGAGATCGCAGCAGACATGTTGGGACCGTTACAGGAGAATACTTACGAGTGATAGTGGACCATTTCTCAAGGTGGATGGAAGTAGATGTGCTCCGCTCCACAACAAGTGCTACAAGTCATAAAATGTTTTGACACCCATTTCGCAAGGTATGGTGTACCAGTTGGTTTAAGGACTGATAATAGGGCAAACATGGTGTTAGGGTTAGTGTATCTAGAGAGAATGGGTGTTGTACACCACCACAATACACTGGCCAAGAGCCAATGGTGAAGTCGAGCGTGAGAACCGTTCACTCCTAAAATCCATGAAAGTTTTTAAGCCCAAGGAAAAGATTGGCGCCCATAACCAAACAAGTTTTTGCTGACCTATCGATCAACGAATCACATAACATTAGGGGTCAGCCCAGCTGAGTTTTTTAAAGAAAGCTAACTACCAAGCTGCCTGAGTTTGTTAAAGCAGGAGATCGGAGTGATGTAGTATTACAACAATAAAAGGGGTAAGTTTCTAAAGAAACTGTGGTGCTGCGTCGGTGGGGGTAACAAGGTAATGGTAATATCAACTAAGTTGAAATTGGAAATTGGAAATTGTGCGCAAGTCTGTGTAGATCAACTTACAATTTCAACTTGATATTACCTTATTAGTATTACAACAAGTGAGAGATCGAGATGCGGAAAAAAAACGGCCAGGCAAGCAGTGTGCTGACGCAAGAAATCATGCCACAGATAGACATATTGCTGTTTGAGATTCGGTTCTGCAAGAAGAAGAAAAGAGAACAAGCTGTCTCCAGCGTATGAGAGTAAGCCCTATGGGGTTTGTGCGCAAAATGAAGACCAAGTAGTACTGAAGTCACCTGAGGGAGTTGAATACAAGAGGAATTTGAAACACATCAAGCCTCTTGTGTCCGAGTCAGCACAAGGTATTGTTACAGGACCAAAGATGAAAGTGCCGGACGAGTCTCGTCCAGCAATGACTCCCCCAGGAGGACTGTTAAGTGCACCCTGCGTCGGTCGGAAAGAGTTGGCCGGCCCTCGAGGGCTTTCACGGATTATGTCTTGTCTTGAAAACTTAACAAACTGTTGAATAGTTGAATTCTGGCCTTGTGCCTACTAAGCCACTTTCGTTTATAGAGTATAAAACGTCAAATAACTGCAGTTAAATTCTAGGCACCTGCCTGGGTGCACCATGGTTCCTGTTTATTTTCTTTTGGACTATTTAGTAGTTCCTTTGTTTTTTCGGGAATAGAAAGAGATTGTGTTACTGATAACTAGGTCCGGAACCTTCAGAGTAGGTTGACGCGTACAGAATAGAATATGGCGGTTTTCTATTGATTTTGTGTCCATTACTGTGTGTTACAAGTACTACAGGTTCCAACCGTAAGAATCAGGTGTAACCATACGGAAACCAGCAACAGACAACTGAAGAATTGAGTTTTACGATCATTGTCATTAAATGAGCTGACTCTTCATCTTTGTTTTAGATTACTACTCATTCACGACTGCTCTCTAACAACGATTTGGGAGACGTATGCATTCAAACTGGCTTTGAACGGTCAACTCTCGATTTCATGACACTCCAACAGTTCCAAACAGAACAACAGTTTAGGGATTCAGTCAGGTGAGAGCCTCATTCAGATCAGCGCGCAGAGCATTGTAACTGCATTAATTGTTCAACATAATTCTATTATCATGTTGGAAACGAGCTAATTAAAAGGCACAAACCCGGACTAAGTTGAGGTGAATTTCCTTTCTGTCAGGTACAACGAATAATTGTTGGAGAGAAGGACCTTTTGTGGGACGTTTTCAAGTTTTGTTTACGAGCATTACTTTTTATTTCGATTAAACCATAACCAGCTTGTACTGCTCATCGTCTGTGCAAACTGTGTCATTAACAGCTTAAAGTGTATTTCACCTTCTTCGTCGCAAATAACTTTGTTGCGATGCGTACGTTTTTTTCTCTACTGAAACGTGCCATCATCTTTTTCTCGCAGAACTTTTTTTGAACACCTTGGAGGAGAATGTCCTGGTATTCTTCTGGTTCAGTGTGACTCAGGAGATGAAAACTTCAACCTGATTGCAGGTGCAAGGCACATTCTGCTGGAAGAGCGAACCAACGCCGCTGAAATGCTTAATTTGTCTTCGCTTGAAGCTGTACACATTGTGCTGATCATACAACTGCCAAGAATTGCTGGTGGATGTCGTAACTTTGTAGGTTTCCAGGGTGGAAAATGGATGTCCGCTCACATTGATGAACTTCGTCCACCTGGTAAATACACTCCTTCCATCGAGCAACTCATCGATCGTCCCATCAGTGAGCTTTTCAGTGAAGGCCTCAATAAGGAAGATGACGTCGTGCAAGCGGCGACGGTGGCGGTGAAGCTCCTTCGCAGCTGTGTACAGGCAGCAGCTTGTAGGGTTGATAGCGAAACAGAATCAGCTGAACGGTCAACTCATAGGATTGAGCTGCTTTTGGATTTACTACCTGATGACTATCAAAGTCAGGAGGGTTAGTAGAGAAACAATGAACAATATGAAAAAATAGAATTTGAGAAAAAACAAGTCTTTCAATTTAAGGAATGTAATCTTTTCGAAAGAGGCACTCGAAGACTTTAGGGTTTTAAATTTGCCTTTCTTCATACTTGAAAGGCGAATCCAAAATCTCCAGATTTAACCTGTATGTTGCAATTATCTGATCGTACCGTTGGTTTTTAACCTCGTTAGATCTCCCGGAACTTTCTGGAACGTATTGATTAAGGTGTTCCTTTTCCTGTAATTGAAAATATATGCTCTTTTTGTACGATAAATGACACCAAGAAGTGGAGACCTCAACAGACAACAGACATACACAGAATAAATCTCCCTTTGCTACTGTTGTGACAACGCAAGAGTAATGCGTTACCTTTTTCAGAGGTTATTGTGATGTAGAAGCTACGAAAGACAATCCATTTTAATATAGAAGCCATGAGAGAGAATCCATTTAAACGGCACCCCGAAGAGGTGACCATACTCGTCTCTGGTATCGTTAGGGAAGCTGCGAGGTTGGCAATAGTGGAATGATTGCATTGTTCGTTGCCTAAAGCTAGGAACCTATTCCATAACCAAAGCAATATTGAATCGTGATGAGCATCAAATTTGCAATGTTTGATCCATTTAGCCAATTCAATTTTGGGCGCAGTGCGAAAGGTCATTTAATTGTTATTCAAAATTGTAGTTTGGGAGCAACAGTTGAAGGAAGGTAATACTGTGTAAGGGGGAAATGGGTTAAGAAAGCCAGGTCCAATTCAACACCTGATCGAATTCAACTCTTCAATTTTAGTATTTTAGCACTAACTATAAGTTCAATCCTCACTCCCTTTTCTTTTAAGATGAAGAGTCGTTTGCAACTGTAGTAGTACAAAGAACACACCACCTCTTAAAGGAAAGAGAGCTAACAGCGGCAAATCCACAAGGATGGCTCCAATCAGAAGCCCTGTCGGGAACAGGGGTGCAAGAGTGGGGCACCTTCAGGAAGGCTCTTTTGCAACGAGTGTTTTCAGTTGTGGTTCCTATTTTGGCGGAGATCATTGCATTGGCAGACAGAGATTGCAATTTGGACCTGGTGAAGAATGACAACACTTGGGTTTCGAGGCTGTGGCTGAAGATCCTAGCCGACCGTAGCATCTCAGAGCTGAGTTATAACGACATGATATCACCCGGTACTAATTCTGTTCGAGAGCGTGTCCAAGTTATTGGCTCTGGAGCCGGAGGTCATCGTTTTTCTAGCCGATTTCCATTTTCGTTTATTATCAAGCAACGTGTAGAAAAACTTTTGAAAGACGCATCAAGCGTCACAGGTACCAGTGCTGCATTTTTCTTTTGCTTATTTTCAACTGTTTGCGTTGTTTTTGCGTTACTCACAACGAGCGATTTGCACAAAGCAGACTCATCGGTTGGTGGTTGACTGTCAGCATAAGAGCGAATCGAGACTTTTATCCACAATCAGTGGTCTTTCCCTAAATTTTTATACCGGTCAATCATTGGCTGCTCGATATATATCATATCCTGGTGTTCATGGCGTCAATCAAATAAGCTGAAGGATTTCATTGAGTTATTTTAACCAACAATAGTGTCATGTATGTTTTGTTTCCTTGGTTGCAGCTCATTCTGGCGCCACTCTGATGGACTCTCTTCGTGAATTGATTGGTAACTCGCAGTTGGGACCTCCACTCGACGAATTGCGCGGTGTAAATTCCGCGGGACATCAATATCTGATGGATTTCGTTCATATGATTTACAAGCCGTCTAACGATGTAGAACACAAGGTTTCTTTTTTACCACTGTTTTTCTTTTTCACATTATTAGCTAAAACTCCTCGCATGATGTACCTATAAAACTACCCTTTAGGATTTATTGAAGAATAGCTGTACTTTCTTTCGTAGCTTTTGTTTGGGCCCTTCACCCAACGCCCATCCCTTTCCCGGAAAAATGGTTTTTTCGTTAATTCAAAAACGCAAACGTTAGCGATCCAAAATATGCAACTGTATCGAACATTTTGCTAGCCAAGAAGAAAATTGACCTTTTGATGGGAAAGTCAAAATTAAAGATAATTATTGATTTTTTAAGTTGAGAAAAGACGGCAAGTTACTAGAACTTTTTTTAGCCCGATTTCATATAAGTTTCCTTTTGTTCTATTCTTTCAGCTTGTTTACGAAGCCATTCTTTCGTCGGCAAGGGAGCTTGGTGCCCTGGAAGATGAGGATGGTAACGAGTCGATTGATATAGCTCTTGTTCATGTGGCACACAGTAGAATTCAACACCGGTTGAAATGTTTTGAGGCACTTGTTAAAGCGTATCCAGATCTGGTACAAAGATTACGAGAAACTCTCGAGGGAAATGAGGCAGAAGTGGTGAGCCTTAAGAATGGTCTTCTTTGATAAGTAGTATTAGCTGCATCCATATTTTTATGAGCTCCCAAGTGAATCGAATTCTTTATGGCATTGTAAACAAAAGCTCTTATTTCTGGTGATAATTATACTATTCTCTACCATTTTTGGCGAGATTTTCTCGTAGGGGGGTCCCATACTGATATATACATACATGTATAAAAGGCTCTTGGGTAGGCCAGGTTGTTTAATAACTGAAAATTATCTGTTGTTTGTAAAATACTGAGGGAGTCACAGGCGCAAAATGAGCTGCCCTTCGAGCTTCAAAGTTTGGTCATTTTGAGATGTGTTTTTGCTTTAATCTATTATTACTCATATTTAATCTGAGTTGCTCGGTTCGCCTGTCTGTAAATCATAAGTTACTGTTCTTTTCTTTTCCATTTGCTTTTTCAATTTTTTATAGCTTTTGGATGTTGTAGCATTGAACATTTGTCTTGAGGCACTCGAGCCATCACGAGAGATGTTGCTTTCTCCGGACACCCGACGAACTTGGTGTGACAGAGTTTTGTGTATAAGACCAGCGGTGGAAGACATGCTAAGGAAAGAGAGGTTCGGACGGGTCACGGAGAATTGTTCAAACTATGGAGAGAGATCAACAGTAATGCTTGGTTACTGCAGGTAACAAAAAACTCAATTTTTCCCTTTTTTGAGCTTTTTTTTTTTTACTGTGACACAAGCAGTAGCCGACTGAAGGCTCTGAAGCAGTTAGGTGTCGATAATCCGTCGACCTTATTGCTAAGATTTTGTATAATCAGACTGTTGTTTCGCTCGCTCCCTCTTTTATGAGAGAATTTGGGTGGTGTAATCAGTTGGTCTTTCTGCTTCCCCTGTGTAGTCAGCAAGCGCTTGCACAACCTTTCAAGACAGAACCGTCGTTAATAGCTAACTAGATGATACTTCTTAAAAGAAGTATTTACAAGTCATCTTAACTCTGAATGCAGTCAAAGCCAACTTGGAAATTTACCATTTTAGAATTTATACCGAGGTTGCAGATTTAAATGGCGGGAAATGATTCTTGGTATTGAGGATGACGCGAGAGAGCAAATTTTGTAAGGCTTTGGCTTAGTGACTTTCTCTTTTTTAATCCAATTTGACGGGAAAGGACTTTTTGTTGCGCATAAAAATTAATTAGTAGAACCTTGTTTTAAGAGATTGTCTAGAGGACCCCTTTGGTAGAATGTGTTACGAAGTACTTATAAATGATTAAGTAGTACTTATTGTTATGGTTATTTTCTTCTTGTTTGGATCAGGTCCATGTGGCAGCGAACAGGAGCTGTTCGACTCTTTGTGGAACACGTGACTTTGTTCGCCGAGAAAGATGAAGATGTCAATTCCGCCAACGTGCTCAGGTTGTGGAAGGTAGGGTAGAGTTAGGAAATGCAAAACAGAAATAATCAGCTAGAAATTGAAATTCGATAAAAACAAACTGCTCTCTTTTGAAGGTTTTGGGAGATGAAACTGACTTTTCATCGCTAAGGTCGCTGCAAGCTATTGAAAAATTCTTGATTGACTACAGTGAAGACGTCAAGCGGAGGTAAACCAGCACGTTATGCACAATGCATTTTTTTTACAATATAGTCTCTGCAAGTTTCAGAGACTACATTATTGATAAAATTCCCCCACAACTTATTTCGTCAAAGTCTAACACGAGTCGTCTTTGGATTCATTTGTGGCCAATGGCTGAGGTTAAGTAATTATATGAATTTGAAGTAATAGAAACTAACCTACCTCTATTCTGGTACTTATTTATGCTACAGGACGAATGAAGAGACTGCTTCTGAGTTACGCCGCCGATGTAATGCTTTTTTCATGGAGCTGGTGTCAATATTCTGTTTTGGTGACTCAGTGTCAAAGGACCTTGAGCAGGAAGCTATCACTCTTCTTATGCGCTATGTTATCGGTCATCAGTCAACTCAGACAAAGGATTTCTCTCCATTCCCTGATTATGCTATTGACCCCACCCCTGTGGTGCGCTCATTTCTTCTACAGCAGCTGTTGCGCACAAGGTAGAAGTATTAAGAAATAAATCTGTTTCTCGATAACAGCGCTCAAACTTTCTTCAGCATCTTTATGTGTCTGTTTTTCTTTAGTCTCTTCCTCTTATCTTCAGTGCATTCTAAATTTTTCAAGAGCATACTAAAAGGTCTTTCTTTTTCTGACAATAGTGCAAAGTTGACAAAGTTGGTGAAAGAGCATCTGGGAGTTTTCTTACAGGGGGCTCGGAACTTAAAACCAGAACCTTCGCACGTCAAAGAAGTCTGCTTCTTATGCGTCCAGTGCATGGAGGTGTGTAAACTAAACTAATACTGTACCGTGAGGTGAGAGTAGCACAACTGAAATTTAAGTTACTCTGCGAAACCGATATGTTACTTATTTCGCTTTTATTGTATGGAGTACAGTGTACTATCAGGTCATAGGTGTTCTCAATTCTAACTGCTCTTCCCTCAGGACCTCCTTATCAGCCGTTATCAAGCCAAAGTGGCCGATTCGAAGTTGACAGTAAAACTCAAACATGCTAAAAAGACTTGCGAAGAGTCATTTACAGCTCTTAGCGCCAGGGACGAGGATTCTGCTGAAATGAGCGCGCTTTCTCTGGATGGGGTTGCCAAAGGACGTTACGTCTTATCATTGGTGGTAGAGTTCCTTTACAAATTGTTCATTGAGGGAGATAGCAGCTACAAAGACCTGGACGCTAAGAGAGAAGTGCTGTCATTATTAGAGTGTGCAAGGAAGCTTTGTATGGGAATGTCGAGCTCCACACCGCAGCTTTATCTGCTTAAACAGCTTGTCAGGCGGTATGGCCTGGACTGTGTTCGGACTCTGGGTGAATATGAGGAACTGGCGTGGATTCTACCAGCAGAAGCTAGACACCAGGTGACAATAAATAATTTTTGAATGTATTTCGTTCAAATGTTTGAGAAGTGAGTATTTAAAGAAAATGATAAGCAAATGTCGTAAGAGTGGGACAGGCAAGGAGAACTCTGGAAAGTTCTCACTTAGTAGTCGGGTGCTCTACCTACTGTGCCACAGGGAACTTGTCAGTGAGCCAGGCTTTCCAGCAATTTATTTTTCCAACCAGTCTTATTCCCCAGCTATGTTCTTCTTTCCCCCCTTATTTCAGATTCTACGTTTTGGCATTCCTCCCTCTTGTCTCTGATCTCCCTCCACATCTGTTTGAGTCAGACTATTTGTCGCCTACTCCATTTTCAATTCAGTTCTCTCTAAACTAAAATGATCGTTTGGATATCTCAGTTGATAGGGTGGCTTAAGGAAATACTTTGAAAAAATGGGATATGTATCACAGTTTAAACGATGTTTCTTCGTAGAAGCAAAGAGATAACTTCTTTCTTATATCAGTCGTTTTTTGAAAAATTGCTGCTCATCATAACAATCATATGGAATGTCAATCAAAATCAAGTGACACCTGCCAAAAAATCCAGTGATAAGTTTTTTTGCTTTTTAATACTCGATCTTCAAAAGAATTTAAAAATACACGATGTCCAAATTACTTCTTTGAATTATCCTCGATACCTTGGAGTCTTTTATGTGACCAACTTTTTTCAAAAGACCACAAGGCGTCAAGAGCTACAAGTAAGATCGAGAGGCTACTCACCGGCTGTACCGTAGAAAATTAGGCCAGTTACTTTTTAAAATACGAATCATTAAGTAAGTGTTGCGCGCAAAAAAGGAGAAAATTTAATTTAAAAATTGATACACGATTTTTCTGTTTTTCACAACCTGGTAAAACATTTGCGGAAGAACCTTGTAATGCTCTCAGTCAGCTCGGCTGGTTAAATTTAAAACAACGCAGGCACTTCCATCGCTGCTGGTATGTTTATAAATGCGTGAATGGAATTACATCTCACAAATTGGAATTATCTAGAAACAGCGATGTACATAGATGGAACACTCGTTGCAAAGACCATCTTAGACTTCCATCAGTAAAACGGAACTGGGGTAAACACAGAACCTGTTATCATGCCTTTAAAGACTGGAATGCCTTGGACAGTGACTTGAAAAACTCTGGCACGATATGTCAGTTTAGAAATAATTTTTTTACTGAATCTTTTAATCTATAGCTTACTTTTGTACTTTTTTAATATCTGCAATTTCCATACATATACATAGGTTAATTGACCACTCCCCATAGGGGCTTTTCAGGGCCAACACCCACCCATCCCACCCAGGGGAGGACATCCACCACACAGTAATCTCGTGCGTGGGAAATTAACGTCTCCCACCCCTAACCCTGCTGGAGACGGGGCCTACGGTTTATTCGTCCTTATCCGAAAAGAATAGAATATCTATCCATTTCTTGATTATAGAAAGGTAGCAAATTCTCCTCACTTATTTTAAGACCACGAGTAATGGTCCGGAATTTGTGTACTTACTTTACCAATTTAATGTTATTTTGGATCAGCACCTCTTTCTGTAGATCACCTACGGGTGAGAGAGCTTCCTGTTTAAATATTATTGTTGTCATTATTATTATTATTATTAATTTCGCATGATTGCGTTGCGTGACACAATATTCATGAAGGTTATGAACGGCTCCTGTCAGTTCTCCAATTTCTGAAATTCGAGGAAAATAATCCACAGTGTTTTCAACATAGGTTGTAGACGTAAATTTCGTAGATAATTGAGTCCGCTTTTTGTGCATTATTGAGTGTAATTTTTGAAAAGTTTACATAATATGTGGGCCGGCTGTGCTAGAAGTTCGCCGAACCACGACATATTTTTATATTTTCATACTCCTCTACCTTTTTTAGTTAGTCTGAATAAGAACATCGTGGGAAAGGAATTGGAATTTTGCGCTGAACCGAGATTAGCAGTTGCGTATTTACGGTCATGGCGGCAAAGGCAAAGTAGATGTCAAACTGAAAAATAATTTTTAGCGTGAAAAAACGTTAAAACCGAAAAAACGTAGGTGATTTCTTCTCACAAAGGATCGATCAAAATATGCGAAGCAAAAAAACTTCCTCAAACAAGTGTTTTGTGAAAAGACAAGCAATTCAATTTATGCCATTTTTGATGATCGGCGACATTAAAAACGGGCCTTTGAGCGCTTAGGCGATTTTCGCTCGGAAAAAATATTCACAGACCGATTCATGGGCAAAGTTTGAAAGGAATCGAGTTTTTGAACCCAAATGCACCGTACTGCTTTATGAGAGACGCCATCTTAAGAGCGTAGATAACTCAAACCTCGTGAATATCACTTAATGCACACAAGTGTTTTCAAAGCGCAATGGTGAAGCACTTGAGAAGCAAAACAAAAATACTTTTGAAAGTCCCAATTTTTTTCTTCTTGTCTTTCTTGCCCACTATTGAACGTCTCTCTTTAACATTTAAAGGTTGGGCTCTTTTTATATTCGACTGTAGATCAAGCATGTTGCATGTTACTTCTTCGATCTCTAGGAAGAGGATGTGATCCAAGACAGGTTTCTTGTTCATGGAGACCATTATCGTGCTGTTCGTGAGGGACTGACCAAAACTGTCATCAGTGGGAAGATCCAAGACACTGTCTCTGCCATTACGGTTCGTGTTCTTTGGTTAATCGAACTTCTTTTTTCCATTGTACCATTGTAACTTTCATCTTCGTAAGGTGATTCCTCAGAAAAAAAAGTTATCGTATAAATTTTTTTAAACTTTCACTAAATGTTCCCTACCAATATCTGTTTCGAAAAATACCATAAAAAAAGATAGGTCACCGTGCATGTTTAAGAGATATGATGGGCCAAACGTACCTCATTTATACTGTACTGGCACTAATCACACGGGTCGTTTCGTCGGTTCACTGTACATTTAGTAAATAAACTCCTTCGGGCGGCTGGTATGTCAAGTGATAATGTCCGCGGCTGAGAGATTGTCCGAAAAATGAATATTTGGCCGAGAAGCGAAGCTTCGCGGGCAAATATGAAATTTTGAGGACAATCTCTCAGCCAAGGACATTATCAGCCGAGACACAAGCAAGCCAGAACGGGGTTTATTTATTTTATAACCCTCCCACTAATTTTCACATCGCAATTAAACTGCGCGTGAACACAGTAAAAAAGCCAGTGGTGATCTGATGGCGAATGCACGTGATTGACACAAGCAAGCAAAAAAAAAATAGTTTGCTCTCCTTCCATGTAAATAGGAGAACGGAAAAGTTGAAACTCTCGTGTTGACTATGTTTCTTTTTCACGGAAAAAATCGGAGGACAAATATCGGGGGGTTATTGCGTGACAACTGTCCTGTGATTTTGCACCACGTGACTTATAGTAACCAATAAAATCGCGCCAAAGTTAATGGTGGGTTATAATTTGTAGTAGTTGGAAGCAAGGGTTTATAGGGTTGCAGTTAAATTAATTGGTAGGTAGAAAGTCTCGAGCTTTCGGAACAATTTGATCTGTAATGTGTGGAAAAATCACGCAATTTTGAACGACATCAATACAAAACGTACTTCGAGTCGTTGCTTTGCTTCAAGGTCATAATTTGCATTATGAGGAAACGGCTTTCGTGCACACTCTAAGATATATCCTTTTTTACCTTCAAGAACTTTTTAAAAATTTCTCCAATTTAAAGGGGATAATTTCTGTACTAAAATCATGCAATAAAAATATGGATCACCGTGCTCGTTCAAGAGCCAAAGACCATCGCACCTTTTTGCTTGGTCCATTGATTGAAAAGCAGTACTGTGTTCTCGGAGTGCGCGTGATTTTTATGCGCAGTACAGGATGCGCAATGCAGTAATGAGGAATTACCTTAATTAGTGAATAGGTCAAACACGAAGGCGCGCTATATAAGGAAGTCTTCCCTGGGAAGATCTAGGCCCATTTGTCACTCACCGTTGACGTGTGCGGGTCAAATTTAAATGCTGGTGGATGAACAAAAGGAGCTAATGAGATATCTATTGTTTTACTTCCACCAGTATGGTGGCATGAGGTAACGTGCAAACTACCTACTTCGATCTCAAATTTACCACCACAAATAAAGACAGTTTCCATCGGAGAAAGGAAATACAAATCTCAAAAATTCTTAAATTGTGATGAAGACAAAACTATTTTGAGGAATGCGCCCGCTGTTCACTACTTTGGAGTAGCTGTAGCTCAAGGTGACTTGACTCTGAGAGTTCTACATCACACGACGGTTGATTGACAAATGGTCCAGTGGGACCTAAGGCTCCTTTTATGGCGCGCCTTCGTGTTTAAGCCGCAAGGTCGACGGCGGGGCTGTTGTGGCTATTGATTAAATGAAGTACTTAATGAACAACAGAGAAGGAGTTAAAATCACAAATATGTTAGAATTTCTTGGTGCTCTATTAAGTCAATACCATCACAGAAAATGATTCCTGGTCCACGAAACTTGATGTAATCGACTTTATTGAACTTGGATGAATAGCTTCGTTTGCTTTGATAACGACTCAGTAACTGGAATGTACGTATTTTGCTTAAGTCTATCAAAAACGGTACCAACATATAAATAATTTCCTGCAGGAAACTGGATTACAAGGCGTCAACAAAAATGTACTCCTCCTCCTTGTGATGTACCGTGAAATAACAATGGCAAACGTTTCACCGGTTCAGACACAGACTTTGACCCAGGAGGTAAGGATAAGTGAGGTGTGAGCTTCATTCTCTTTGCGTTGACTATGCTCTGTTTATTTCCGCTGCACGCTTATTCGTCACCTTCTTACTTGCTACATCTAGATATAATGATCATTACTTGGTTTATCTTTCTCGTCAGGTGAGGGTTAAGCTTGATGATTTCGTAAGAAATGGAGGACACTTATCTGAATCGGTAAGACTAATTTAGATTAAGGCCTTTAAATTTCTTGTAGAGCTATTGCTGATTTTTTTTTTTTTTAAATCTCGTTAACTCTGATGAAGGCCCAACCTTTCGCGAGAGAACTTCTAGGGAACAGCCAAGGTGGACAATTCCAGAAACTTCAAGTCTACAATGGTAAAACCCCACAGGAGCACACCTTGGCGGAAATTGTGATTCACACAGCAGTAGCCTTACAGTGCGTTGGTACGGGATCCCTGGCTGAACCTCTTTTTGTTCTCATGACAGATCCATCGACCATGAATGTAGGTACTTATATGTCGCTCCCGCTACCACAAAACGCATAATACAATTGTCGGTTCGCAAATTACACTTCTCTTGACTGTAAAACTATGCACTTATTGACTGAGTGGGAGGGCCGAACGGGAAAATATTTAGCTCGAGGTCATGACGAACGAAACGGGCGCCGCGAGGTCTATGCCTCATGACCAAAAGCCAAATATTTTCCCGTCCGGCCATACCAAACTCAGTCAATAAGCTTTTTATCATATTACAACTGAGTGGCGAGACTTTCAACCTAAATAAGGACCCGATAGACGGCACAAAAAAATTCTGCAATTAAAAATTTTCCTTTTTTTTTTTAAATCACAATAAGTAACTCCCAATTCATTTTCGTTTTCCTTTAAGTTTTTGCAACAGAGCAACGTGAGGGCAGCAGGGCCGGACGGCCTATTCCGGACCAGCTCACGTCAACCCGTCCCGGCCCTGCGCACGTCTGCTTTCATTATGGTTTTTATAGGATTGCGTGAGCGGGGCCGGACGGGTCTTATGGATAATGTATTTATTATCCAACAAAACTCACAAAACAACTTCTCAAAGCTCGTCCAATCCGTGCGCTCACAGCCCATTGCAACGTTCATGACTGTCAGTCAAATGAAGCGATGTATGAACGTATGTAACGCAAATTATGTAGCGCGATTTGCAGCACAAAAAAACACAACACTGGAAGCGGGAGGTACAAAGTATATCAATGGCAAAAAATTACGGTAATACACCCTCTATCGCGAGCTATAAGTAAGACATTGGTAAAATTTCCTGAAGAAACTGTGTTAACGGCGAGAAAGTTGCAAATATTTAAGCAGTTGTTTCTCGGGTGGAGAACTGGAAACTTTAAGTGAAGAGAATGGTTGATACGTATTTAAGGGTCTTGTGTTACGCAAGGAATGGGATGGAATAAATCAAGTATTTTGGGCTCAAACAGCAGACACCGACTTATCTTGCCATGAGAAAGATCTTGTGTTCCTGATGTTTCGTTCCTTTTTTCTTTTAATCAGTTTGCATTAAAGAAATATTCCCCCATATTTATTTGTTCTATGCAGAATTCATTCCTACCAACAATGCCCGAGGATAACTTCCACGAATGCATTAAAGCCATTGCTGAAACTATGAAGGGGTATTATAAGGGAGAGTGGTATGGTAAGCGTGGGTTTTTACTCATATTTTTTTATTTTGATAATAATTTTTTTTCAACGAAAAGAACAGTCCCAGTAACTGATAACTGTTTCACACAGTTTTTGTACCTCTTTTTATAAGTTATTCCTTTGTTTTAAGTAATATTTACAGTGACTCGTCTATTTTGTTACGTGACTTGAATTAAGCCTACAACACATCATATATTTCTCTACTTACCCTTTCCAGAGTGTGGCAATCGTGACTGCAGATATCTGTATTTTATTGGGGAGGTAAGCAATTATATTATAGAATTCCGGCTCTTTAATCGTGTACGTCATGTTAGTACCTGTTTTGTCTTTAAAACAAAACCTTAAGAGAAAAATACTCCCCAAAGCAGAGTAGACATGGGATAATGGAACAATACAAAGAATGAATAATTAGCTTGGCATTCGGTGTAACCGCCGCCCGCCAGTACAGCGTTGTCTTACTGAGCCTACGAGCAAGATCTCATTTACGCTGTGGCATTTACGCTCGTATGAGCGGGGAAGCAGTGCGAGACTAACTGGCGAGTGCAACAGTGCCTTGAAGAGCCTGCGCGTTAGCCAACGTTATCTCAGCTAGTTTCAGTGTTTAGAAGAAGAGGTTTGTTTTTGAGAGAAGAGACGTTCCAGTTGCGTCACGGTTATTAACTGATTTTTCTCGACAAAAACAAAAATGAACTTTTTTCTGTTATCGTTGTCATTGCTTAAGTGGATTTTGTGTGTTTTGGAATAGTGCTCGAAACCAATGGAGAAGAGCACCTGTCCAGACTGTGGAAGGGTAATAGGAGGAGAGAACCACAACTTTTCTGGAGAACATCAAATTTCTGGCAGGTAACTTTAGGATGTTGTATTTGACTTTCCTGAAGTAATACTCTGTATAGAAATAGTTGGTAATACTCTTCTCTTTCAGTTCAGGTCACTACAAGACATCTATTTTATTTAGTATAGTAACGCCTTTAAACGTTTTGTGGATGAAAAAAAATTAAAACACCGGTGGTCATTTTACTGAAATTTATCTTAAAATAATGAATTTCTAGGGAAGACAGGACGAAGACTGGTCACGCGCTCGGCGAGCCTAGTTCGAGACCTACTCACGCTGAACCACAGAGAGATATGCCACCGATAGTGTGCAGTCTGCTGAGGATTATCATGCACTCGGCTATGATCATGGGAGCATCCAAAAACTCCCAGGTGATTATTAATTCGACCAAGTTAGTGATTCTCAGCGAATAAGCCAACGAGGAACTTTTCACCGGCTGTAGTTCCTCTGAGCTAGGGAAAATTTTTCCTGGTTGATAATGTTATATTTTCGATACAGATCAATACGATAAAAGAACAACAACATACAGTTCATATAATATGAAGTTTTACAGGTTATGTTTTACAGTAATAGGCAGTCTCATATTCAATATAAAGTTTTAGATCGGTAAACTGATACGTTCTCTAAGTCCCTTCTTTTGATGGAAAAGACGTTTTTAATATTTTGGTCATAATCTTAGAAAGCAGTCCAATATTTTCTCAATTTGTTCTCTCACTCTGGAGTACATCAACAGATCTTTAACTTCTCTTCAAAGGCAATTGCACCGCTGATCACACCTCCATGCCCTCCACAGTCTGAGGGTAATTTCTTATGGCAGCACTTGCAAAGAGATCTTGATGTTCTCGGTAGAGCACTGGGGCGCAGTGTTGATGACGCGGCGCTTACAGTTCATCTGGTACTGGCACGAATGATCTCGCGGAATGGAGGACAAACTGGTAACGACTTTTTCACCTTGAACTGCGTTACTTCATTGCGAAAACGCGATGCGCTAATGGTTTGCGGGTTGATCGAGAGGTTGGGGCAAGACAAGTGTTACCATTACTATGTCTCTTTTCTCATAAGTTTTTCATTCTACTGCCTTAAGATGAATCGCATTTAATTCAGGGTGACAGGCGATATTCTTCTCTTTTTGCTACGAAAATCGTTAACTTATTTGAAATCAGCTACTACGGTTTAACGTGCTTGCACTGTGTGCTCACTCGTTCGTAGCATTTTTAATTATAACTGTTGTTAAGCTGTAAGCAATGTAACTTTAAGTAATTTAAAAGTAATCATGAATTAAGGTGTATTCTTAAAAGCTAGCCCATCGACAGCCAGCCTTTCACGTAAGCTTTTTGATTTCAGTTTAAAAACATAGATGGGATACATTTGTTTTATAATTACAGAGGGGAAAAGTTACTATTCATGCGATGTTCTCAAACGGGTAAGGGCCAATAAAAAGTATCCGAGGAATTCAGTGTATTGGTTAAATACATGTGGTTGAACGTTTCTGTAAATAAAAGTCAGCATTTATTTAACCAGGATGCTGGTTGTTGCTCATTTTGGTCCTCTTTTCTCTCTGTAAAATCTTCAGCAAACGCTCATGACATGCGACTTCGAACGCGGGAAAGTCGTCGCAGCTGGGAGAAGGATTTCTGCTCTGAGATTCTTGTTCCTGTCATCACTGTAAGTGTCCAGTAGATTAAGAGATTTTGTATTCTTTCCTTTATTTTTTGTTATATACGATCTTTTTGTGTATTATTACCATTCTAATTTAAATCACATTTTTATATCGTTTTCCTAGAATCTTGACGAGAAACTACAGAGTGCCTCAAAACTTTTGATGGGAGACGAGAGATTTGGTACGCTTTTCCAGTTTGCTTGTTGACTGTTAAAAAACTTTTAGCAGGCAAATGATGTAATGTGTGTTTTTCTATCTTAGTTTCAGTGGATAGTTCCCCTGAAAAGTAGATACCTGAAATTAAGCTGGTCGTGCAGACATCTTCGAAACGAAACAGGCTTGAATGATCATTTTATCTTTGATTGGAGCAAAGAAATTATGATGGTTAAGGATGAAGGAAATTCAACTCGCGAATGACAAACTTGAACAATTGGGATAAGTTTTTTGAAGCGCAACAAACCTTCATGTGATCTCGTCATAAGTAATGTATTACACATCTCTGTTTGGTGTCGTTTTCAGGGAAGGATCCGTTGGTACGTCAACTTTACGAGTTCGATGAACACGTGGAAGACCTGTCTCAGGGCGTCAGGCCTATGTCTCGCTCGCTTTGGAAGTACAGACAGCATATTACTGTTGAGGACCTTAGTAGTTCTTTTCAAAGAGAAGTCTTTTATGGTGGCAAAGACGAATTCAAGGTGCTAAACGCTTTCCTTAAGCAGGTAAGGTCACCATATTGCTGCTAATGGCCAGGGCTCTGTGCTACAAAGGTTTTCTGTCTTGCAATTTCTACAAGAGCCAGTCAGATACGTTTTAGACTTAAGGTTTTTGCTCGTAATTTTAACCCTTTTTCCGCCTTAGATTCAGGCAGCGCCTGCTTATGAAGAACTGAAGGGAGTCTCCTTTCCATGTCTGTTTTTAACATGCCTTTTCCTCTTAAACAAATACAGGAACACAAGTTGCGTTTCGTCCAGTTTCTACCCGAAGTTGTTCGCCTCCAACGTCTTCTGATGGACAGATTCCACCGACGAATTGACAGAATAGATGCAGAGAGATATACAATCCGTGAATTTCTTAAGGACCTTCCCAAAGGTACTTAAACAGTCACAAGGCAGTATCAGATATAGCCAAAGCCATGGAAACTATCTTTCGTTTTCGATGCAAATGGTTAATGTTTTGAACTGCTTTTTAACCAGTAAACTGTCGTTAGAAGGTGCATTTTTTTCAAAAAATATTTTCGCTTTTCACTTTCACAAAAAAGACTTTTCGACGATGAGGATGGAGAAGGTGTCAAAGCTTTGGCCTGAGTTCGGGGTCCTGTATCTGGCGTCGCATGTGGGTTGTCACTGGTTTTTTCCCTTGTTCCGAATATTTTTCTCTGTTTTTTTTTTTTTGGTTTCTCTCCTTCCACAAAAACTTTTTAAAATTTTCCAAATTCAGATTCGACTTGGAAATTCAGTAGAAAGAACCATCTGCTAGAAGTGTCTCTGCTAAATTTCAACTTAAGTTTATTTGTCAAGAAAAAACGTTCATGGGTAGAATGTTCTTGAAAAATCAGTCTTCTCAGGTTATCTGCATAAGCAAATTTCGTCCTTGACCAGGTTTTGCTCGACAAGTCTCCGTGCTTAACATTTTAAAAGTTGATTTTTCTGGATAAGGAGATTGTGTATCTACAGCTATAGAAAACCTTTTTAAGGGAAAGTTGCCAGTGGAAGTGCAACTGTGATGACCCTGGTAGTAAATCTTAATTCTAAATAAAATAAACTTTGTGTTCCAGGATCTGTGAAAGAGGAGTATACCAATCTGTTCCAGAGTTTCAAGACTGCATGGAATTCTTGCAAGTTATTTCTCGGTGATCAAGGTACAAAGATCTTTCATATATTCCAGGGTACATGCATATTCATATATACGCATATATATACATATATATGCATGCAGGGTTCTTGCATATTCCAGGGTACATGGAAGAAGGTTTAAGTTATTCTTGTGAGCAAATTCCTTTCCTTTTTTTGTAAAGAGTGTTTGTTTAGTTACTTAATCATTTAACTACGCTATTTTGGTAAGATATCGACGGCCAAACTCACGAGTGATGCTAAATTTAGATTGATGGGGAGCCAAAACTTAGACATGAAATAATATATCGAACATTTGAATTGCTGATTTTTATGTAGAGTCGTGGTCAAAAAGCAGAACACCGATTTTTTTTTAATCTGTTATGCCTTTATCAATCCCTTTTTTTTTAAATAAGGTAATTCCTTTCAGCTTAGAGAGAAATTCAGTCACTTTGTGTTGGAGTACCTTTTTCTGGTCCTAATTTGTCTTTGTTATTCTTTACATCCTAAGGTCGCCTACGCGTTCCGCAAGACCTTTGTAATACCACAATGGATAACGACTGTCCAATCGCGATGGTTCTCCCTAGTACCACTGGTATGGGAGTTTGTTCGACCTCGCTTACCTTCTTCCTGGTTAATGCAAATAACGAGTCTCTGGGAGCCTACCGTGGTGCAACTAATCAAGATGGGTACACAATTTTATAATGAATAACCTAAGTGTTGCTGTTTTTCTTTAAGCAAATAGATGACACGATCTGATCCGAGCAACATAAAGCGTACGTGTAGGTAACGTCGTTCTACTTAAGTTTGGTCACTTGTGTTTGTCAATCTGACTGGGCTGCAACATGCGACTGATGCCATCAGTTATTGTATCCTCCAAATTCAGATTGAGAGTGAAACAGGTCATGGGTTGGGGTTAATTTTTTTTTTTTTTGAGAATAATGTACATCATAAATAGTAACGTTGTTGGCGAAAAACGTTTACCATTATTCCTGCCCAGTCTGGCATAATTACTACCTATAATTAGAAACAAAAGTAAATGACACTCCAAAAGTAAAAAGATTAACACTGCATCATCAGGAATTAGCGTAAACCGAGACCATTCAGCAAAATGTTTGCTTTTATCTCTTTTGCAGTCCCACACATTTTACATGTGTTACCAATGTCCCTGCATCATGTTTGCACCCGGTTATTCATTCATAAGTACCGTAAATCCTCTAATAAGCCCCCGCGGGGGCTTATTTATTTCAGGTGCTTTGAGAGGGGTGGCATATTAAAGGAGGGTGCTTATTAATTTAGCCCGATCTTCACTATCAGAATACAATAGGATATGATGTACCGTATTTATTTAAAATTTGTTCTCATTTTACATTTTTTCATTTACCAAATTGGCAGTATTCTGTTAATGCCAACGTGATAACATCAATCGATCAATCACCGTAATCAATTTTAAATGACAAACTAAAATTACAGTGCTTGGATAAATTCATCGTACTAACTGACATGGAGAGTTATTTTGAATTTTTATTTTTAGGGGGGAGGGGTGGGGGGCTTAATAGAGGGGGGGCTTGATAAATTACTTCCTCTAAAGAGAGGGGACGGCCTATAAGAGGGTGGGGCTCAATAGAGGATTTGTGGTAAGACCCAAGTATACATCTCATCTGTGACATTCCTTTTCATTTTTAGCCCCTTGGAGCGTGTTTCCGTATCAGAGGTGACCTTGTCGCACTTGATAGCCTACGATCCTGAGAGGGACCTGCTGCCCCTCATCCTGGCTCACTGTAACTACTCTCTGGAGGTGGGACAGGAGACCTTAGTTCACTATGATTGGGCGGCTTTGGAGAGACAGCTGATTGACAGGTTGTTACGGGGAAGGCCTTTTGTCGAGTTTAAGGTAGGGTGGAAATGTTTAAGACATATTACGTCATGAGAAAAGGGCAGTTCGTTTCACCGCACAGGAATGTATTTATTCCTTCATGCTCCTGCTGAGTGTGCTTCATCTAATGGCAAATAGTTTCAACCTATTCAACTTTTAAAGCACGTTTATCTCGTGAAGATATGTCTCAATAAATCACAACAATTTTAGACGACAAATAACAAAGGCTTACCTTTTGTGACCATTCAAACATAAGAATTATGTGACAGATACAGTCAGAATAGAAGTTATCTCATAGGGTAAAGTATTATAGGCATACTGCTTTAGTTTTCAGGATGTATGTTTCAAACAGCGTCATCAGCTTTATTTCTTGACAGCGATTACTATTCATCTTTACTGACCTTTTCTTAAATTGCAATCGAAGTGATCGTAATTTCTGTTACCGCTTTTTGTTTCTTTGTTTCAGGAGGAACGTTTCGCGTTTAGCCGAGACACCCGGGATGATGCTGTGTTCACTTCCCTCACTAGAAAAATTCCTCAGGTCAGTTTTACAGTTTCCCTTCTTTTCCTTTATTATATAGGTTAAACCAGTGTGCCATAAAGTTTTAGAAGAAAAAAAATTTGCTTTGGTCTTAATCTCACCGATGCAACCAAAAATAAAATCGCAAGGTGTGGAATGTTTGAAAATGAGGGTCAACTAGAGGTTTAGTGCTGAGGGTTATCTGGTAACGCTTGATTAGCGGTGCAAACAATAGGTTTCAAACTGGGAAACATTCTGAATTACCTTTTATGCAATATGTTTCTTTAAAAATTGATTTGCTCACTTATTTGCAACTTAACGTTTTTACGTTTAGTTGGGAACTAAAGCTTGCTTTTTTTATTGTTTTGTCATCTAGTCTGTCTTTTGTATTGTTTTGTCGTCAAGATTATGTACCCGCTTGCCCACCTTACTCTGATCCTTCTTGACCATGTAAAGAACAGTACATTCCACTTTCGAACATGATAAACTTTTCCTTCCAGCTCCTTCAGTAAGCGGAAGCATGTTTTCGGATCTGAATTGTTTTTATTACGTCGAAAGTAATATATTTATTGCATTATTGTAATGTTAATGTTTGTACTGGTATGGTCAAGATCAAAGCCACTTACATTCGCTTTTTCCTTACAGGAATCCATTTCCCGCGTCATCGAAAGCCAGATTATTGTAGAACTGCGGTCTTCCTTGTCTGATGTCTGTGATGTTATGTCGTCACTGGATATTGCCATTGGTTTCCTTGCTTCATCGGGTGGGCAGCCGGAGAGGCCTTTAAAATCGTACTTGCATGATGTACTTAAGTTACCCAAAGATCGAGGTCTCAAGAGTCCAACAGTAAGTACATTTCTTCTCTTTGTCTGAAAGACTCACTGTAGTGGTCATCATTCTTGACTGATGCAACGCTCCAATTACGAATATCTGAATCAAAAAGTTGTTGTGTTTCACTCGAACGATTTTTGAGAGATGTCTAATAGTTCTTTTCTATTAGTTAACTGAAGGAGGAGCCCTGTTTTCGACTGTTTGCTCATATGCTAACTATTGTTCTGTGCAGCAGTGCTTTTACTTGTATCCATGCGTGGGTTCTCATGGATATTGCTATCTTGTTGCAGGCAGAGCAGCACTGCAGCTTGTCCCATACCTTGGCACTGTGGCGGCTTATGGCTCTCGAAAGAGCAAAAATCAAATCAAGGAACAAACAGGTTAGGTTTGAAATGGTTGTATTTCCACTTGGCTGGTTTAATTTCTCTGTAATAACCGTCATTTTTTCACGCATTTTAGCCCCTATTACATTTGTTTGTTTGTAAATAAAAAGACAATTTCAACTGTGTTCAAAGTTTAATAAGTGTTTCTGATTTCCCATACGCGAGACTTGTGCCTCCACTTCTCCCTAAGGTTATACAAGTGTAGTTTTTATATTAAATGTTTGATGAGGTGTGTTTGAGCTCGTCAGATCCACTATAAAACAAACCCTTTTCGGGAAACCTTTTTTACAGGAGCCTTTTGAGCAAATGCCTGAAGTTTTCAAGGAAAAACTTAGCTCAAGCGAACAGGCCAGCCTAAATCGCGTGTTGCGAAAAATCGACATGGACATATTTCTGCCGCAGCTCCTGCAAATTATTCTTCTGGATGTCAAAAAATATGGCGAAACGATTTCGACGATGAGGTAAGACGCGCTATTCGAAATGTTCCTTTTAATGCGTTGGTAAAATATGGACCAAAGTCGTTATTCTTATCTTCACTTCCTACGGTTGCCATCGATCGTAACTTAAGGAAATAATGCCTCAGCCACCATGTTACTGTGGAGTTATGACGTACAAACCATGACAGCCACGAAACTGCCTAATTTAGGCGAGTGACTTAAATCCTTTTATCTTCTCAAAAAATATCTGTAATCTTTTCCGGTGATTTTGTTTCCTGGGTTGGGTGATATCGTCAGTGTCTTTTTCTGGTACTTGTACTGAACGTTGTAATGATGAACTTCTGCGCCTTGTTGTCCAATGTTCCCTAAGTTTCCCATTCCTATTTTGTAAACATGTTGCTGTTTCAAGTCTGCATTAAATTCTGGTGCTTTAAAGTTGAATTGAAATTGTAAAATCTTCATAATCCCAATTGCTAGGGGAGAAGAGACAGTTTACGATACTCTCTTACGGCTTTAGAAGACCTAAAAATCTTACTCATTTGCCTAATGAAGTACTATAGTTGAACAGAACTACGATATATATACAAATTTCTTGCAGCTTTGAAGATTGCTTGGGTTTGTGTTTGGCCAACAAAGACTTGGATCAAATCCCAGGAACAGAGAACATTCCGTACAGCATTAAAATGGCGCACCTAAAGGCAGTTTGGAACTCCGCTGTCCAGTTAAGTGACGACTTTCACAAAGATCGTCAAGCAGTTTGATCCTTTGTTTGGGGAGCAATCAGTTCAAAACTCAAGACATCAAGACAGTGGCGCAGTCAGTTAGGTGTTAAAATTAAAGAAATGAATGGGAAATATTAGGATGCAAACTAGTAATAACGCTAATGGTATTTCCATAATAGTTTGGCTTCTAGCTTCGGTTTTCTCTCTTATAGTAATGAGGTATTAGATACACTTAATAACAAATCAATTTGAAAATGTTGGCATGTAATGAATACTGCCATTTATGTAGCGACTGGTACTTCGTTGTTATAGTAAATGTCTAGGACCAGTCAGTTGTTTTTGCTACTCATATTTACCTCTGTTTTAATTAGAATGTTAGAAAAATTTTTTCTCAATGCCCCCTCCCAAAAGTAATAGATAAAAGCGAGAGGTTTTATGTATCAGAAATCTAAAGCAGGCTGGTATTATTAATTAATTTTTCATATTTTTTTCTTGTGCACTCGAAAGATAGCTTAAAGTGCTACAGCTTAGAATGATACAAGCATGACACGCAAGCATGGAACGCATCTTGAATTGGTGTTAAGATCATATTAATAGAAAATTTTTCATTCCATTAAACTTTTGCACAAATTACTTCTTTGCCGTAGTTGATGTCTTCTAAAGTGATATAATAAGCACCCCGCCCAAAGTTATACGTGGACAAAATTTTTGTGTGAATACGACTGACCCTAATGAAAAGAACCATTGTCAAAATACTTCCGGTTGTGTTCGTAGCTGATTCAGTTCACCGCTTCTCCCTCTGGGCCATCATTTCCGCTAATCTAGTAAAAATAGCTTCAGAATACTGAACCCGTTTATCTATTTTGTGCTCCTTCGTTCTACTTCATAACAGACCAGATACAACCTGCGGTCAGAAAGCCAGGTTTGATATGAACTGCCATGTTACTTAGATAACTTTCTCATTTGTATGCAAATGAAAGTATGGGGTTATACAGAAATTGTACCCCGATTCACTTCTTAGCTATCTGTAAAATTATGATTATCTACAGTTACGGGTGGAACAGAACGGGTGCTGGAGCCTCATTCGACATGCGGTGAAGACTCCTGTTTGCGTTTATTGGTGGTGGCGTCAAACCCTACAGTGTGGAGAAATTTACTTGAACATTATAAGCCGTTAATATTTTAGGGAATGATTATCTGAGACTGTAATTAGAGACATAATTTGGATATATCAACAAAGTTGAAATGGTAAATTAGCCACCGTAATGATTACAAAAGCTTACGTTTCGAGCGTTAGCCCTTCGTCGGAGCGAATAGAGGAATTGTGGGTTGTGTGTGCTTTCAAAGGCAGAAAATGGAGCTACGTTATTGGTGGGAGCATGGCAACGAGAAAAACATGAATAAATTAGTGGAATGAAAAGCGTTCGTTGATCCCTGTGGGATTTAGACTACCGGTTTGAAAGATGAGCTTTTGTTCAAGATTTTTACGGCTTTCCGTGCCACCTAAGTGCAAGGAAAGACCGCAGATTGCCATATGCTGCTTAGAATGATTAGGTAAATTAAAATGTCTAGCGACTGGTTTCGATGTGTCCTTGTCATTCCTTTCCACATTCACAACACTGATAAAATATAGGGACCTAAACGATCCATTAAGATCACCGATCACTTCACGTGCACCTCCGCCAATGTAATCTATTGCATAACTTGCACTTATTGCAAAAAGATATACATCGGCGAAACAGGCAGAAGACTAGGTGACCGATTCCGAGAACACCTTCGAGACGTGGAAAGGAATGACAAGGACACATCGAAACTAGTCGCTAGACATTTTAATTTACCTAATCATTCTAAGCAACATATGGCAATCTGCGGTCTTTCCTTGCACTTAGGTGGCACGGAAAGCCGTAAAAATCTTGAACAAAAGCTCATCTTTCAAACCGGTAGTCTAAATCCCACAGGGATCAACGAACGCTTTTCATTCCACTAATTTATTCATGTTTTTCTCGTTGCCATGCTCCCACCAATAACGTAGCTCCATTTTCTGCCTTTAAAAGCACACACAACCCACAATTCCTCTATTCGCTCCGACGAAGAGCTAACGCTCGAAACGTCAGCTTTTGTAATCATTACGGTGGCTAATTTACCATTTCAACTTTGTTGATATATCCAAATTATTTCGTTACTCCCACCGACGCAGCCCAAACAGTTCCTTTCGAAACTATCAGCCTTTATTCATTTCAAGGTCCTTGTTGGCGTTCTGAATCGGTATTCGGAATGGAGTTTCCCTGAAATCGTTGAACACAAAACCTGATACTTTAAACAGCACATAACTTCAGTGATCAATCATCAAAAGGCAGGAAATGTGGCAGATTTTGACTCTCGCTTTGGTAACTTTTTATCCCTATTCTGCAAACTCGGAGAAGGAATCGTCTATGGCGCTCGCTCAACTGAGTAAGGCGTGCTTTCTTTTCAATCAATCAATCGTTAATTCAACCCTATTGCAGTAACAACTGAATTACAGGGGGCGGTCGCGACATACATTTTGAAATTTGACAGTTATAAAATCATTAAATATTTTGCATTCAGTAGAGGCCTGATACGATTGTGAGCCTGAGCGTAAATTATAACCGTAGTATTAAACCAGCGGAACCCGAAAGAAACTACCAAGTGCTCCTGACAAATGACAGGACTTGGCGAAATTTACGCAAGCTTGTTGCCGCCTATCGCTAAGAAGTTCAAGGTCAGCAAGATGTAGTGCGTCGCTATAACAATGATGAGGGAAGACTATATAAAGAGCTCTCCTCTGGACTTGGTCTAAAAAGTCACTTAGGTAGGCTGGAAGTGCCGTCCATACAGGGGACGCATATTCGAGCACAGAGTGATTCATACTGCAATGTACAGATACTAATTGGGAAGGTGAAAGTCCATTTTTCATAAGAATCCTCAACCCGTGGAGGCGTTTGGTAGCTTTATCGTATATATACTCACAATGTGCATTCCATGAAAGGTCATCAGAAACTATGACCCCCAGCCAGCTTTGAGGACCGCCTGAAAAACCAGGTTAGGCCCGCCCCATATAGATTCTCTCGTGCTTTATTTACATTTTCTTCTTGACCATAGGTAGGATTGGCGCGGTTACCTACTGTGCTATTAGTTAGTCTTGAAAATACGGCCTTATCTTTTCACGGTACATTTTGGAATCATTCTATAATTGCGAATTCCGCGGATTAGGAAGTGTTATAGTGATGGCAAAGTTTAGACTGAAAGACAGATGTTGCTTTCCGGACTAAAACACACTTGAAAAACTGTCTTCGACGCAGATTTCTCTAAGTTGGTAGTTATATCTGTGATGGTCCATCGATTAAGGATCGATGCAAAGGTTTTCTTTAATAGCTATGCACAAATGCTATCGTCGAATAGAGGTGGTAGGAATGGAGAAATACCTGTATTTCGCAATGTTAAGTAATATAGGTAGAATCATAAATGCCTGATGCCTTAGCCGAGTGTTTCGGGGCTGAAAGATTTGAATTTTTACTGAGTTCTAGGTTCAAATCCCCTTGTTGCAGGATGTATTTATACTATCCTGGAAGATAATTTTTCCTGCCACTCAGTAGCCTCGCACTATTCAAGGTTGCAGATGTTGGTGCTTATTCAGTTTTTATCGTATTTAATTTTTTTAACAGAGAATAAAACCCCTCGTTGGCTTGCGTAACTCAAGAACCATTTGCCTTTTGGCAGGAGAAAGATTTGTATAAAAGCATCGATGATCTCAGTTTCACTTAGGACGACATTGGCAAAGCAATCCATATGAACGACATTATTGATCTTTGCCGTGTGACAACACTGACGAACAAAATATTTCATGGTGAGCCTGTCAAAATAATTGCGATTGGTGGGTCGAATTCAGCTGGGGGTGGAGTCGAAAATCGCAGGCGTTTATATCACCAAGTGTTCTCTCAGTGGTGGGACAAAACGATTTCAACAATGACTGGCTTCAAGTTGACGGTAGAAAATATGTCACTTAGAGGGACTGGGAGCGACTTTTTTTACATTTGGCCTGCAGAATTTCGTATTAACGGATGATGAACCAGAATTAGTGTTCATCGAGTTGTCAGTAAACGATTATGGATGCATACACGGCGCAACAGGTCAGCCGATGGAACTCCTTAAACGACGAGTTTTTTCCTTGAAATCTTTTCCATTAGTTCTGTACGTAAGCTTGGTTGATTTGGTCAAGAAAGGTGCATCTCTCAGCAGTATTAAGAATCCAAGATGTCACAATTTGGAAGACTTGGGACAACGTGAGTTTGCAACTCACTATGGGATTACCTTGCTTAGCTGGCGTGACATACTTTGTCCAGTGAATCCAGCAAATGGCATCCGAAAAGCCATTATACGGCCAGGAATGGTGAATGATGATCATCTACATACTGATATCAAAGGACATGCTCAAGTTTCTCTCATTCAAATCCGTTACTTTCAGAATATCTTGCTTCGAACGAGCCAGCTACTGATCTGTGAAAAATCTTCATTAAAGGACCCTTTATTTGCTAGTAGCTCGATACTGGTTACAAACCTTCGTTGCTGGGCGTCTACAAACCCAAGATGAGGAAAATCCAATGTGCACCAGTCTCTTGATGTAAAGGTTAACAAAAAACGGCGCTTTAGCGAACTGTCTTTAAAAAGCATCAAAGCAAAGGTGGACTTTCCATCTGACCGTCGAACAGACGCGTTCGGTGGCTGGGTGTCTCTCCGACAAGGGAGCTTTATAGAGTTCTCCTTTCAAGTTCCACCCAAAAAATGGTCTGTAGGTATCTTTTTACGTAGAATGAGGCAAATTTCGGATCGAGTATTGTTGTGGCTCGACAAAGACATAGAGAATGCGGTAGCCATGTTTTCCACAGGTGTCTCAGGGCCGCCACAACATTAGCTTGGAGTCTCAAGGTAACAAAGCTACTTCTGTTCTAATATACGGCATCGTGTTAGGCCCTGCTGGGATTGATGGGTTTGAAGGATATAAACCTACTGGAACTTTAGAAAACGTTTGGAGTCTTGAAGACTATAAAAATTTTAGAATATAATTCAGAATATCACGTAAATACATTAAAATGATAAACTAGGAGAGAAACTCGTGGCGTTTTCTCCTTCGTGTCTCCATTTTCGTATAATTTCTTTCATTTCTGTGGGCGTATGTTTAAGCTCTTTTTTTTTCCTTCCCCTTAATTTGTAACAAATGAAATCAAGGTTTGATTACTTGGAGTTCAATATTTGTTTTTTTCAATTTATTTTTTTGATTCGTGTGTATTTTTTTTTTGTTTTATTATTTTTTTTAAAGATATTCACATTAAAAACACGTGTATTTTTGTGTTCAAAAATCAAACTTGTGATTCACTAACTCTACTGACACGGGAATAAACTATGTGACGTATTTCTCAGTGGTTGGCTGTTGATGTTGAACCACATGCATGCAAATTATGACATCACACCAAACCACGCTCGTCATCGATCTGTCAGGACAAATGCTCCTGTTGCTGAAAAGTTAATTGCATGTAATCTTCTACGAAAAGATGGATTTATGGACTAAAACGTGAAGTCATAAACTAATACTGGAAGTAAGCATCGCTTAAGATAGA